GGTTCAAGCTCTCAACCTTCAGACTGACCAACACTCATCCGGAGCCTGCTGGCTGATATTTCTAAATAGTGCCACAGAGCAAAAGCTTGTGGGTCCTCCTGTGGCCTCCAGGGAACACTGGAAGTTCCACTTTCCCTCTCAGTTGCCCCACCCCAAGCTCCTGACATCCTAGCATCTTGTATCCTTCACAGAAGTCAGAGATAGTAGGGACCTCTCTAGACCAATTTCTACCTAAGAGGAATTCTCTGTACAATGAAGCCCAAAAGCATCCAGCCACCCCCCTCACAAGGCAGCCTGCCCCATCCCACTTGTGCAGCACTCTAGCGCAGAGCACTCCCCTAACATCAGGCCTCTGTTTGTCTCTGTGCTACCTCCCCTCGTCTCCCCACCTCACAACCTGGTTCCTGCTTCTGTCCTCTGAGGCCAAGAGCAAGCCTCATCTCCCTTTCATGTTGCCACATAACACCTACAACAATCTGGAGGCACCTCTCATGTACCTTTATTCTCCTCCCCTCAAGACTAAAGCTCCCCAATCACTTCAACCGATCCTCGAAGGACGCAGACTTGAGGCCCTCTACAATTCTGGCAGCCTCCTCTGGACTCTCTCCAGTTATCAATGGCCCCATACACCCCTTTCTGGACTGGACTTGGGACTTCAAGTGACTTCATTGGAAGAGGGCCCTTACTCTTTCTATGAACGCAGTTCAGCAGCTGCTCTGGGACTCCCAGTTGTACAGTGCTATCTGGGGACACCAAGGGGTTCAATGACCTCTCCAGCATCACACAACAGTCTGGATCAAAGGTCTAATTTCAGCTTAGGTCTTCCCAACTCTGTCTACTCACCATGCTATGCGGCTGCTTCTCCCCAATGATCTTCCTAAACAATGGCACCCACAACTGAACCTGACACCTGAGACATTGTCTGACCAGCACCACCACCCTCTTCATTGTCAGAAACTATGCCTATCTTAAGGCAGCCCAGGAACACACAGGTTCTTGTGGCTGCCCCATGGCACTGCTGGTCCAACTGAACCTGTGGTCCACTAAAATCCTCAGTACTTTTTCTGCTGTTTAACCATGTTTCCTTTTTTGTACATGTGAACCTGATTTTTTAACCCAAGTGTAAGATATTCTATTCATCCATACTTGAAAGGCATTTTAGCAGATTCAGTCCAATGCTCTAATCTGCCAAGACTTTTCTGGATCCTCACTCTGTCATCCAGTGTGTGTTTTCTCCCAGTTTTATGTCATCTGCAAATTGGAACATTATGCCATCTAGACCTTTTCTTATTAACCTCTCCCTGTCTTCTCCTGCCCTCCAAAGGAGGTATATAGCCAGGGGGATCTGATAGGGCAGGTCGAGGCGTGTCAACAGGTTTCTCTTCAAATTAGAAACACTTGACCCTTAACTAAATATTCAGAAACTCTTTGGAACGGTCTGCCTTGAAAGGTCAGGAGTTTCTTGTTTTAAATGTATTTCATTAGAAGCAGGACTGAATACCAGTCAAGAATATTGTAAAGAGAATTTGGTTTCAGGAAGGGACTTGCCTAGATGCCCCCGACGGTCCCTTTCAACTCGGAGATCCCATGATTCATTCTGCTAACTTCTCTACTGCAGCTCTGAGAAAGCCAAAACCAAACCACCTGAAGCCACAGAGGAAAAGCTCTCCACTGTCCTCCTCTGATTCTTAGCCCCAAATGGTCACAATCTGAATGGAAAAATGCTGAGCGACAGTCTGTACCCTAATTGCTAACCACTCCATCTCTTTTTGTCAGGAGCAGAAATGGGCAGGGACAGGCCCTGGGTGAAGAGATGGCCCAGGGCATGCCCACATGGTCTAATCTGACCTCAAGTGCACAGCTCTTCAGCTAGCTCAGTATTGTTCTGCCAAGATGCTGGGGTGGGAGGAGGGGACACACAAGCTCACATATCATCTCTCTCACAGGGTCGCCATGAAACGGCTTTAGATGGACCTTAAAGTGCTATAGAAGCGTGAACTGGGATTAGTAACCAGTTTTTCTCAACTCCTTGTAATGAAGCCTATGAAAATCAAAACAGTTATTCTCTGGAATATAACACACCATCCAAATCAAACACAATGAGTCTCCCCTAAACCCAAATATGGAAGACAGTACAGGTGGGCTTGTGAAAGAAGCCTCCCTAGGTTTTGGTCCTCAGGAAGATCTATACTCCCCAATGCACAGGGGACAACGTCTGTGAATTTTGTACTTCTTCAACCTAGAATATACTGTCTGTCATCAGAAGAAATTACTATATCTACCTGTACTATATAATTGTAAAAGAAATCAGAAGTGCTCTCTAGGAAAAAAAAAAAGAATTACAATGACACAGTCCATTAATTATTGCTTTTTGAGGGACGCTGAGACTGATATAACTCTAAGTTACTATTATTCCGCCTACAGGAACCAAAGCTGTCTCCCTCACCCCTTGCCTCTGTTCCCCCTAAGAGGACAGGGATAGGAATGAGTCTATTTCCCTCTCCTGGGGGCAGAGAAGGTTGGCTTCCACAATGCCACCAGCTTGTCTCCCCAGGTGTTAGCACTCTCTCCCTCCTGAAATGACTTGGTAGATTCTTTGTATTAACATACAGTGTACACATTGCATCCCCTGAACTACACAAATGGTTCTTAATCCTTCAGGATTAAGACTATTCCATTCTGCCTTGCTACTCCACAACACAGCACAATGCCTAGCATATAAATATTTGTTAAACGGAATTTTTCAAAATGCTGAAGCTGTCATGTCAGTTCCCTGATTGAGAAACTTACTCAACACTTCACCTCTTAGGTAGGAAGCTCTTTGAGGGTACAGACTGTGTCATTTTTCATTTTTAATCCTCAGAACAGTGCCTTAGGCATGTTAAATGCCTAACAAATGTTTGCTTCACTAAACTGATTAGACTGACATTCAAGGTCTCCTGAAATCTGGGCCCAATCCATTGTTCTAACTTTATAGTCTTTTTCCCAACTTCTATTCTCTATTCCATTGAATGGTGGGCTTACTGGTCCCTAAACACAACTGACTCTAAGCAAAGACCTGGATGGAGAAATTCATGCTCTCCTGCCTGAAATATATTTTCCTTTTCCCCTCAGCCTATCCAAATCTTCTCTGCCATAAGATGCCTACTTCACGGGGTCTTCCCTGACCACTTTTGTACCCAAAGATTTCTTTTTCTTATGAACTCACCTAGTACAGTTGGTGAGACCCATTCGGCATAGCACTGTTCTTTAATTTCTGAAGTGTATCTTCTCCCTGGCTGGACTATAAACTATTAAGAAGAAGGACTGTGTCTCATACTACTCTGGAACTCTCCTAAGGTCAGTCTGCACAGTGCCTTGCATATGATAGTCACTCAACAACATTTTTTTTCGTTGACTTATTTAACACACAGAGGCAAAGCTATTAGGCATCTATCTTAAGGAAGTCAAAGACAGAAAGAAAGACCCCAAATGTACAAAAATATTTGTAGCAGCTAAGAGGTGGGAAAAAAGTAAATGCCCACTGGTGAAGAACAGCTGAACAAATCATAGCATGTTAACGTAATGAAATATTATTCTGCCGTAAGAAATGATGATTATGAAGAATTATGAGAAACTTGGGAAGAACTGAGGCAGAGTGAAGTTAATATAATGAGAAGAACAACGTACATGATGACCATGATATCATCGGGAAAAATAACACTGAAAGACCTCAGAACTCTGATCAACACCATCAACAGTCATGAGTGCAGTGGACTCAGAGTGAAGCGTGCCTCCCACCTCCTGGCAGAGCGTGTGGACCAGAGGTGCAGAATGAGGCAGACGTTTTCAGACAGGGTCAAGTGCAGATTCGATTTGATTGTACTTATTTTGGAGGAAGGAATGGAGAGTAATTAGGAAGTGACATAAGAAAAGATCAATAAGCTTTTTTAAATGACACAGATTTACACACCTTTTTAAAAACACAGTTAAAATGCACAGTCAAGTCTCCTTACTCATAGATACTCTATTTACCCACCAAATCTATGCCAAGCCTCTAGCACATTCTATGCAACATATCTCCCGGGGCAGCTCTCAGTAGAAACCTAAGAAGGTACCTTACAGGATTCTCCAGGGGTTCGCAGCTTTTAAAGTCAGATACTCAAATTACTCTGTTCACATGCTCCAGAAAAGTAAAGAACAAATTTCACCATTGAGCCAGATGCCCAAGAACAAAATCTGTGAGGACAGTTGAATATGTCTCGTCTCCTCTGCACTTAGAAGCCAGGCTGACTAATGTTGAGGCCAAAGAACTAACAGAGATAAGCAGACTAGGGTGTAGCCAAGAGCTCTCATGGAAAGCTCTTTCAGGGGGAGGATGATCCAATTCTGGAGGTACCAGGTACCTCCGTCTACCACACCTGGATGTCTCATAGGTAGAAGTCTCCCAAGCCCTTGTTGCTTAACGGTTCCTTCTTGTTATATAGAACAGTCAGGAACAATGGACATGAATAGCTAGTCTGGAAAAAAAAATCCTGTGGGCTCCCTAGTACTACTGTGAAGGTAAAGGATGGGCTGCACGTTGGAGGAAGAACACCAGACTTGGACCTAGGTTCCAATTCTGGCTCTGGTTACTTACTGCCTATCCCTAACCTTGAGCAATGTAATTCTCCTTTCTGGGCTTGATTTCCCTCATTCATAAAATAAAATTGGTCTACATCAGGAGTCTTAACCTTTTTTTTTGTGTCATGGATCCCTTCAGGAATCTGGTGAAGCCTACAGACCCCCTTCTAAGAATTTTTTTTTTAAAATGCATAAAATAAAATTCATACGATTACAAAGGAAACCAATCATGCTGAAATATGATTACTGAAATATTAAAAAAGACAAGTTCATGGACTCCAGGTTAGATGATCTCTAAAGTCCCCACCAACTCTAACTCACATAATTCTGTGAATGCAAGTGTTATTCTTAATTCTAGTTACTTTATTATCAGATTTGTAGTTAAAATAAGTCATTACCTGTTGTTTTCTGAACTCAAAAAACTCAGTAAGTGAATGGCCCAAAGGATAGGTCCTACATATGTTGCAAAGGCTGTGAGGAACATAGCTGGTACTTCGATATAGTGGTCTAGGCCAACAAAGCCTGCTGAAATATCCACTGTGGCAATGTTATTGGAATTACCCTGAAAATAGAGGAGAAAAAAGGTAGATGAGTCTAGTGAGGTATTAAATTTATTAAAACATTTTAAAAGGTTACACAATGCTTAGAGGCTTTAATGCCAATAGTAAAATCTTAATTATGTATTTGTTCATTAAATTTTTTATTAAGACTTACTACACACGACACTGTGCTAAGTATTGCCAGAGGTACAAAGACTAATAAAACAAGGTCCCTCTCGTCAAGGAGCCTATATATAGTCTAGCGAGAGAAATCAGTTGTGTAACCCATATAACTACAATACAAAATAGACTGTGATGTACATGATGTGCACATAAGAAAAGGACAAAGTGCTTTGAAAAAGGGGAAAAGTCACTTCTGGCTAAAAGATAAGGGAAAGCTTCACGGAAAAAGCAGCATCTGTGGATCACTGTAACAAATTTAAAAGTTCTCAGTTAAGGACACCACGATAAAATAAAAAATGCCTTGTCTTTTGAGTCAGAATACTTGTGTCTAAGACTTCACTCTGACTTGGCAAATTACTTCATTTCTGAGACTCCATTTCCTTATCTGTACAGTGGGCAGGTAGATGGCACAGTGGATGGAGTGCTGGCCCTAGAGTAAAGAGAACCCAAGTTCAAATTCAGCCTCAGACACTTAGTAGCTGTGTAACCTTGGACAAATCACTTAACTCTGTTTGCCTCAGTTCCTTAAAATGAGCTGGAGAAGGAAATGGCAAACCACCACAGTATCTTTGCCAAGAAAACCCAAAATGGGGTTACAGAGAGTCAGACATGACTGAAACCACTGAAGAAACACTAAAAGGTGAGGATAATACCTACAATAACTACTTCACAGGGTTGCTGTGAGAACTATAAAAATGTGAGTCGTTATGGGGGAACAAGGGAAAAACTGCTTACTTTTCAACGAAATCTTGGAAATTTCAGTCAAGGGAAGACTTAGAGGGACATGATCACCAACTTCAAACACCTGAGTGATGCGTGAAGGACAGGCTTTGGCTAAAACATATCCAGGACAGAACGACAGAAGTTACAGGGAAACCAACTTCAGTCTCCAATAAGGAAGGACTTTCTAACTTCCAGAAAACTGAATAGACTATTGCATGAGGCAGTGACTTTCACCTCATTTGGCTCTATCTAGGTATTGGAAGTACTTAAGTGGATTTAAGTACTGGATGGTATGTAAGTAGAAATGAGTTGATCACATGAAGTTATAGAGGAATTCATGCTTTAGGTAAAGCTTGGAAATTAGATGACCTTTCAGGTCCCTTCCACCTCCTGGATTCCATGATCATATGAATTTTGCTGTTGACTCTGCAGTCCTCAAATAGCTTACTCCTTAGATGACCTACACGCCCTCAGGAACTGGTGTATAGTCCACTTCTATTATAGTTCAGCTTTTTCTTAAAAAGCAAGTTTCACTGACATCTTTTGTTTTTACACCCTGGTCATCTCTGGAGTATTTTTCTGTAGTCAGAGAAGCATGAGAAGACTTATTTGAGCTGATTAAAAAAAAAAAAAACGAAGAAAGCAGAACCAGGAAAACTGTACATAATGATTATGGAAACAGAAACATAAAGAATAAATAACCTAAACTGAACCCTGGAAAATTACAATATTTGAGCGTGGCTCAATAGAAGAACTGAGAAAATCAATTTCCTCCCCTCTTTACAGACATGGGGGATTATGGCCATGGAATATTATATATACTGTCAAACACAATTTATTGGTTGGTTTTGCTGAACTTTTTTTTCCCTCTTACCTGTTCCTGTAAGCAGTGCCTTGAAGGGCAGGAGAGAGGGGATGAGTATATTCAGAAAGAAAAGTAATATAAAAGCAAAAGATATCAATAAAGTAGAATTTTTAAAATGAGGAAGTTGAACTAGATGGTCTTCAAGATTCCTTTCAGCTCTAAATCTACAATTCTATACTTGTTTCATTCTGCAACAATTTTTACAAATCTTCCCATGCTTCTGAATTCCCCACATCCCTCATTTCTATCCACATAATAACATTACATTAATATATACACAATTCTCCAAATACAGCCATTCTCCAAATGATAGGTGCTCACTTTGTTTCCAGTTCTTTGCTACAACAAAACATGCTACTATAAATATTCTGGTTTATACTGGAACTTATTTTTGTCTTAGACCTCCCAGTAACAGGATCTCTGAGTCAAAAGGTAGGAACGGTTTAGTCATTTTCTTGCATAATTCCAAATTGTTATCCAGAATGGCTGCTCCAATTCACAACACCACCTGCAGTATATGAGTATGCCCGTCTTCCCACAGCCCTCCAACATTGACTGTTTTCCATTTTTGCCATCTTTACTGTTTTGTAGGGTGTTGGGTAAAACCAGTACTTGAATTTGGAGCAGTTATCCACATGGTCATTTATAGTTTTCAATTATTTTGAAAACTTCATATTAATAGTCATTACCTCTTAAAGAAGAATTTTTAATTATCTTCCCTCTCCCTCTTCACGTAGAGGAAAAACAGTCAAGTGAAAGAGTCAGAGTGCACTTGAAGTCAGAAGGCTGCACACAGATCTAGAAGAAAATCTATCTCCAGCCTAGAGGGAAGACATGGTGATCTAGCAAAGCTGGGCAACTGAACAATTCTATCTAAAACTCTTCACAGTATGACTCAGTGAATTCCTAGATACTCAGACTACTCATATTCAATAGTTTTTTTTTTTTTTAATTTTAATCCCTTGATAAACTGAATATAGATGATGTGGGGATTAGAGTTTGGAATAATCTTTGTCATTGTTTTCCTCCACTCACTGGAATGAATTGTTGAGAATAAAGACCAGGAACACATTTGTTGACAACACCCCACATGCAGTTCTATCGGGAAGGATCATCATTTATTAGCTTCTTACGTATTGCCTAAAAATACTAAGGACAAAACCATGATAGAACATGCCAGATTGTGTATAGTTAATTCACACATGTTTATGAAATGCAAGTACATTGTGTCTTACTAATTAAAGAGCTAAAGGATACTTGATTTTACAAGCAAGATTTTAGTTGACCACATAGCAGATCTAGATTTCAGCACATTTGCGAAAAAGTCTCTCAATCTATCTTTCCAGACAAGATGGAAGAATGTGGGTTGGATAGCACAAGAGGTGGACATATAATTGAGCATCCTTAAACAAAGAATATGGATTAATGCGTGGATATGAAGGGAGATCTCTATTTGCAAACAGAAAGCTTTGTACTGGATCCTGTCCCATATAAAAAGAATTTTAGATCCAAGAAGGTTATTAGAAGATCATCCAGTCCTTGGCTCTTTCTCTTTTCTCTCTCTATCTTGGATTATCACATCTGCTCTCACAATTCTAAGGATCCTCTATCTCTAAGTGGATGACTTCTAAATATAGACCTTCAGTCAAAAATTTCAACAGCTTCCCAGCACATCCACCTAGATGTTCCAACAGCCCCTGAAACTCAATACGAATTAAACTGAATTATCTTCCCCTCATTCTCTTCATTATTCTGTTGATGGTCCCAGACAACACAACTCAAAACCTCTTCCAAACTTCTTCCTCTTCCTCATTCTCTAATCAGCTGCCAACTCCTGTAGATTCCATCTTTGCAAATGCTCTTGCATACATACCCTCCTTGCTACTCCCACCACTCTGGTTCAGGCCAGAAATACACAAAAAGAGCCTAACAGTTGGAGGTCATTAAGCTCATTTTGTAGCTAAAAAGGAATTCTCTCTATGACATCCCTCCAGCTACCACTTAAAAAAAAAAATCTTTAGTGCCAGGGAATCCACGAGCCCATTCCCAGGGTCTCATTTTACAGATGAGGAAACTGAGGTCCAGAGAGGTTAGACAGTCACAAAGGTAAAAGGTAGCAGACTGGGATTCAAACCAGGCTCTATACTGTCAAATCAACTGCCCCGTCCTGTCTTCCTTCTACTTCTCTCTTTGGGCCAAGCACAACAAGTTCAATCCTTCTGCCATAATAAAAGCTAGCATATTTCTAAAGAGTGCTTTAAGGTTTGCAAAGCATTTCACATATGCTGTCTCCATAGATGAGATCACATGAGCCGGCCCTTCACATACTATTATTTGAAGACAGGCATAACGTGTCCCCCCAAAGTTCTCTCTTCTCCAGGAAAAATGTCCCCAAGTGTTTCTCATATAGCCTGTCGCTGAATCCCTTACCCATCCTATCTGCCCTTCTCTGGGTACTCTTGGCTCCCAGAACTGAACACAAATAATCTTTCAGATGTGGCCTGACTAGATGACAAGGGATCTTCAATAACCTGCTTCTGGACTCTGCTTCGCCCCGAGGAGTCGAAAATGTTCTTAGCTTTCCAGTTCAATCAAACTGCTGACTCACACCGAGCTTCCAGTGCACTAAGATCTGCTTGCAGGCACTATCTGCTATCTTCCATCACAGTGCACTTGTACAATTGATTTTTCAAAAAAAGACAAAAACAAAAAAAAACAAACCCAAAAAACAGTGTGGGTGTAGTGGAAAGAGGATCCGATTCTCTGTTTGAGAACTGAGGTCTGAAACCTGAGTGTGTTGTTTACCTTCAGTGCGACCTTGGGTGACTCCCTAAGCCTCTCTGGGTCCGAAGCCCTTCTTCTACAAAATGAGGTTTGGGCTTCTCTTCTAGTTCTAAGTCCTATGAACTAGGATTTTGCATGGATCCCAATTAAATTTAATCTGCAATGAGACTTAGCTGATAATCTATTCTAACTCTTGAAGGCTTTTGTCTCTTAATTCTGCCACTCTGAGAGGCACCATAGCCTAATGGAGAGGGAGCCAATGTCGGAGTCAAAAAGTTCTGGCTCTGATATATCCTTGGTTCTGTGACCTTGGGCAAACTGCGTAATCTTTCACTGACCCGTCAGGCAACTCTCTAAGATTATCAATTACAGAACAGTTGTTATTCTACCTTGGAGGGAGTTTCATTATCATGAAATCCCAACACTAATCAAAAAAAATTCGAGAACCCTCCCAATAAAAACATCTATCATTCAATGTGCTAGCTATCACTCCCAGCTTTACACCATCTATGCATTTTATAAGGAAGTTGTCTGTCTTTATCTATGTGGTTTATGTCTTCATCTGATAAAATGCTGAACAGTACAGGGTTAATGACAGATTCCTAAGACACTCTACTAGAGACCTCCCTCCAAAGTGAAATCCATCAATACATGACTACCTTTTGGGTCTGATATTCAACCAGTTCGAATGTGCCTATCTATACTATCATCTAGTCCACGTATCTTCAAATTGTTGATAAGGACTGTCAAATGTTTCATCAAATTACAGGTAAATGATGTCTTTGGTACTCCTCTGAGCTACCAGCTAAGCCAGTAAAGTAACCTCGGCAAAAAAAGGAAATTACATTAGCCTGGCATGACTTAATCTTAATGAACTTAAATTGGTTCTCAGTAATACCACTTCCTTTTCTAAATGTTTGCAAACCATTCCCTTAATACTAAGTTTCTAGAATTTTGGGAGGAATCAAAGCCAATCTTCATTGGCTTAGAAGCCCAAGTAAAAAAGGAAACAACTACTGCCCATCTCCCCAGTCAGATGAGACCAAAGAAAACCAGCTTTCCTGGCAATGAGAACTTCTGAATTCACTGCATCGAAGGAGCTCTCGGCAGCAAAGTCTGTTAACCAGTAGAATACAAAGTATCTTAAGGTGTAATAGTGAAGTGTAATAGAATGTTCAGAAACATAAAGTACTCAAGGAAGACAAGAATCTCCTGCGCAGAGAGTTTTGAAATGGGATCTGGACAACTCGTCACAGCCTGACATAAACAAGGCTTAACAAATCTGCTCTGGATTTGAAGCTAGCTACCTAGTTTAGGAGCCAGATAAATGTACCGAATAAACCACATTAAAAAGTGCTTTACCGTTTCAATCAATTTTTTTCATGTATTCCACTGAAGATAAAATCACAGCAACCAGAAATGAACACACTATTAGAGATGCGTTCTGACCAGGGCAGAATAGCACAGGACTAGTACCTCTGTAGTACTAGAGGAGAAAAGAGGAGGGGGGAGGGGAGAGAGGGAAGAAGAGGAAGAGAAAGGATGCAGACGAAGGAGAAGGGCGAGGGAAGAGGAAGGAAGGAGAAAGAGGAAATGGATCCAACTCAAGGTCAAACTGACCAGAAGACTGGAATTTTTACCTTGAGAGGAAATACGCTCTCCTTTCCCAAACTGTCCCACACTGAGATGACTATAATGGTGTCCTAATCCAAAGGCAGCATGATGGAGTAGAAAAAATCCTGTATTTGGTGTCAGGATAACTGGGTTCGAATTCTTGCCCGGCCCTTTACTCTGTGTGGTTCCAGGAAATTCACTTCACTTGTTTAACTCTTGCCAACCAGCATCTCCTCATCTGTAAAATGGGGGGATTGGAATGGATGTTCTCCAAGGCCTTTTCCAGTTCTAAGGTTTATGCTTCTGCTCTCCCTTTTCTCCAATCTAATGTACCTTCATGTAACTGCCAAACTCATCTTCCTAATGCACCTCTTCTTCTGCTTCAAAACCCTGTGTTCCCTTCACATCTACAAAACATAACATAAATTCCTCAGGCTAGAATCTCTGAAGGCCCTCCTAAATCTGATTCCAAAGCTATTTCTACACTATTTCCCTTTCCACACTCTGCCTGCCAGTCAAAATGGACTCCAGTTATTCCCTAATCTGGTCTCTACTTCTGATACTGTACAACCTGACACCTGGAATGTGCACCCTATAGATAATTCTTTTCTCTAACATCTAGCTCAAGTACCACCTTCACCATAAGGACCTTCATGATCCTCCCATCCCCAATTTAAAGGGATCTCTCTCCTTATATTTTTCTATTACACTGGAGCTCTCTTTTGCTCTTATCATATTTTACCTGTGTTATACTTATCTGTGCACATAATAAATCCTCCCAATTAGACTAAAGTCCTTGAGGACAGGAACTACAGATTTTCATCTTTATATAGTTAGTGCCATGCCCAAGGAGGCATTTATTAAAAAGTTGACTAAACTGAATTTTGTTGAATAACTACCATTCCACCTCACATCCAGGAAACTGGCAGAGATGACAGCTAATGGAAATAGTCAGCCTTGGAGGAATTACAGAAAGATGGGTACACTAATACACTCTTAGTGGAGCTGTGTATTGGTGCAACCATTCTGGAAAACAATTTGGAATCACACTAAAAAAAAAGTGACTAAAAAGTCCATATCCTTTGACAAAGAGATTATATATGTGCACATATGTATGTACGTGTACACACACACACACACACACACACACACACCAAGGAAATCAAAGACAGAAAAGAAAGGACCCATATACACCAAATCATTCATCTATTCATAGCATCTCCTTCTACAACAGCAAAGACTGGAAAATAAGTAACTGCCATTAGTGGAATATTACCATGCCTAAGAAAACAATGAATATGAAGGATGCAGAGAAGCATGGGAAGACATATAAAGTGATACAGAATGAAGTAAGCAAAACCAAGAAAACAATTTACACAATGACAGACAACAAAATAAATGGAGAGAACTGATCACTGTATAATTATAATGAAGAAGCTTGACCTAGGAGAAGAGTTGATAAAATGTGCTCTCCTTCCTTCTTTGCAGAGGTGAGGGACTATGGACTAGAATAATGCCTACACTGTCAGATGGTCGTGCTGGCTGGTTTTGCTGAAAAGTCTTCCCTCTCTTTATTCTTCATCATGGGGCACAGCTCACTGGGTAGGGGAAAAGTAAGGAGTATATTTGGAAATGAAGCTGATGTAAAAAACAAAATATATTAATAAAATATTTTTATAATACATATAAATCATAATGCTACACATTGACAAACAATTATTTCTTTCAGCAAAGACTACAACTTCTAGACCTGTAATATTGTTAATAATAATTTTCCCCAAGTTAAAGAAAGCAGAAACAATAGCATGTAAAAAGTAAACAGAAGACTCTAAAAGGCAGAAGTCTAAAAAACAGAAGATAGGTAAAAAGTAAACAACATACCTGAAAATAAAAGAACGCTTGGCCAAACCAATAATGCATTATGGTAATTTGAGCTGCATCGTGTTTCAAGGGCTTCCAGATGAATTTTGTCATTACAGCTTGAATCAACAGACTAAACACCAAAACAGGAAGATTGTGAGGTCGGAGCAACAAGGCTGCTAGGAGAACTAATCCGCTATATATTTCCCACAAACCTCGACTCTTGATATTGACATCTGCAGAAATGACTTGGGACTTAAGCAAGTCTTTGGTTCCGGTGAAAAGAATACCCAGAACAAAGACATACACAAAGCGAGCTTCAATAATTCCCCTAAAAGAGAGAGAACAAATTAGGTGTATTAGCATCTTTCTGTAAAATCCAAGTACTTACTTCCATATGTGGCATATAATTCTATTTGCATCAAAGCAAACAGTTAACACAAGCTAGTTCTGCTGGCTAAAACTCCATGGAATCAACTTCACTGCCCCATTGGTAGGGGACACTAAGAATAAGCCTTTGTGTGTGCATAAAAAAAGGAAGGATGGTATCCCACTCTATTCTAACATATCTGACAGTGCTCTGTGTTATCAGGTGAGATGGAAGGAGGGGGAGCCTGGAGTTTAAGATTCAAGGTAATATTTATGTGATTACAGCAAACCAAAAGCAAAGTTCCATTGGTTTGCCACGAGTAGTCTGAAAAATCACTATATTGGTTCCGTTATCAAAGGCACAATTCTGATATGAAGAACAAGGTGCCTTAAACTATAATAAATGATGCAATTTCAGGCCCCTGGGTGAGCCACTGAATTACTAATTCTATCAGAATCACAGAATTACTGTTTTTCAACTCTCTAATGTACAACAAATACTATGGATTATAGCAGTGTTACAGCCATACCTCAGAGATATAGCAGGTTTGGTTCCAGATCAGCACAATAAAGCAAATATCACAATAATGCAAGTCACATGAATTTTTTCATTTCCCAGGACACATAAAAGTTATGCTTACAGTATACTGTAGTTTATTAAGTGGGCAATAGTATTTTATTTAAAATAAACATACATATCTTAATTAAAAAATACTTCATTGCTAAAAAATGCTAACCCTCATCTGAGTCTTCAGTGAGTCATAATCTTTTTGCTGGTAGAGGTCTGGCATCGATGTTGATGACTGCTGCCTGATCAGGGTGGGGGTTGCTGAAGGTTGGGGTGACTGTGGCAATTTATTAAAATAAGACAACAATGAAGCTTGCTGAACCGATTGACTCTTCCTTTCACTTGAACACGCAGAGGCCACTGTAAAGTTATTAACTGGCCTAATTTCAATGCTGTGTCTGAAGGCATTGGGAGGCCCGAGGAGAGGGAGAAAGCCGTGAACAGTCGGTGGGTGGGGCAGGTAGAGCACACACATTTGTCTATGAAGCTTCCTATCGTGTATGAGAGCAGTTTGTGGAGGTCCAAAACAATTACAATAGTAACATCAAAGATCACTGACAACAGACATAATGATAATGGAAGTCTGAAATATTGCAAGAATTACCAAAACATGACACAGAGACAGGATGTGAGCACATATTTGTTGAAAAAATCAAGCCGACAGACTTGCTCAATGGAGGGTTACCACAAACCTTTAATTTATAAAAGCACCCCCCCCATATCTGCAAAGCACAATAAAATGAGACGCGTCTGTAGTATCTTATAGATGGGGCAGCTAATTGGGAACACTTGAGTTTAGATAGTGCCTCAGACACTACACATGTGCGTGTGACCCTGGGCAAGTCACGTAACTTCTTGCCTCAGTTTCCTCATCTGTAGAATGGGGATAGTAATTGTAAAGGACTCAGCACTGTACCAGAATACAGTAAGTGCTATAGAAATGTTAGTTATTATTCAGAGGTTATCTGGTCCAACCTTTACCCAAAGCAGGAATCTTCCATAACATCCCCAAAAATGATGATCTGGGCTCTGCTTGAAGACCTCCTGAGGTGGGGAGCTCACTGCTTCCTAAAGCAGCCCATTCCGCTTTTGGACAGCTCTAGTTTTCCCAGAAGTCTTTTCTCATAACAAAATGACACCTGTCTCCCTGTAAACCCCTACCCTGGGCTGTAGTTGTGTCCTCAAGGGCCAAGTAGAACAAATCTAATCCCTCTTTCACACATAGAGAAATAACGTGAGTTAGTTATGTGGTAAAAGCAGAGGAGATGCCACAGAGGGACATCAGGGAAAAAAAAAAGGATAGGTCCACTTTAACAAGGGCACTGTCAGAAGCTGTCCTGGGGACAGCTAGATGGTGCAGCGGATAGAGCACCAGCCCTGGAGTCAGGAGGACCTGAGTTCAAATCTGGCCTCAGACACATAACACTTAGTAGCTGTATGACCCTGAGAAGTCCCTTAACCCCACTGCCTAGCCAAACAAACAAAAACATAAACAAAACAACAACAACAACAAAACCCCAAAAGGCTTCCTGGAAGAAGCAGCACTGTGGTTCCCAGGCTGCAGCAGCCTCCTCAAAGGGACCCTCTCCCAAAGAGCCCTAGGCATCCCAAAGATGCCTACCCAGCATCCACGGGCTCTGCTGTGGATAACCTCAGTCTGCTGCAGGGGAGAAGATGCTGCTTTTAGACCCTCCCCTCCCAGCTAGACTCCGCTGCTCCTCCTGCTGACCCATCATCTCTCTGGCCACTCCTAGGCTGAACTCCCTCGGTTTGTAGACCAACTGTGGAGTTGGAAACCAGACTGCTGCTGCCCCCTGCTGGTGCTGGGGACACATGCAGGTCTTGGCAGGCAAGTGCTGCCCTGCCCTGGTTAAAGCCATGTCTCTCAGAGCCCTACTTTACGTCAGGGACTGCTTGACTCGCCCACTTCTTAGTTCTTTACTCTGAAAGTCAGCCCCATCCAACCGTTTCATTTCAAAATTACTAAAAAAACCAAAATTCCCAAGAATGACCTTCAGTGGCACTCTTGCTCCTTTCTTTGTTAGGCAGCAGACTCCACAGGACACCCTGGCTTTTAAAGGCACCAGGGAGATTTATTTAGAAAAACTAAGGATGAGTCGGAGAGCCTTAACATATTCTTGCTTTATAGAAAGGGAAGTCATCCAGTTCATTCTCTGCCACCTGGTCCTAAAGGGATGGAGAGGCCGGAAACCTCTACATCACTTTCATCTATTAAATGTTTACAAGAAGTTATGTTGAGGTGGGCACTGTGCTGATGACTTTGTGAGATCACGCCAAACGGCTAACTGAGGAGAACCTCAGCCAGGTCATAGATCCCAAGGCTTCCTGTTCAATACCAGCATGGGCCTCTAGTTTAGCACTTCAGAAATCAGGACTGGATGGGATTCCTTATTTTGTCCCCTTGCTCCCTCTAGGGAAAATATTATGAACACAAGGAGGCAGCAATTGTCTTCCAAGAGACTGAACTAAACAGCACAGTTAGGCCTGTGACTGGCCTGGCTGGTCGTCATTTCAACAAGGGATAAACAAAGGTGATTGTCGGAGAATCCCCTAGGATTTCCCAAAACACTGAACTTAAGACATACAACATCCATCGTGGCTTTCAACATAGAACGATTGTGAAGTCTGGTAGGAGGAAGGACCCTATACAGTCTTATTTGAATGTTCTAAAAACTATCAGAGATCACCAAGATCCCTTAAGATATATGTTTCTACATAATACCACCTACAGGAAGAATGTGGAAGGTTCTTTAAACTTGTAAGAAAAAAAAAAAAAGAGGCCCAGAAGTAGAGACCCAAGGTGAGGTCAGATAAATACATCAGCTGCTTCTGATAAAGGTGTGGCCTATCCATACCAAGCACTCTGAAGTGAGCCAAGGCTTTGCTTGGCTTCTTCACAACAAGCTTACGAAGGAGGTAGCGCAAGCAGGAAGACAAGCAACTTTTCTGGTCCACTAAGATCCCATTAAAGCCTACTAAGCTACCTTTCCCCTACTGGTTCACTGGCCTGAGGATGAACTCTGGAGGTTCTCAACTTCCTTACCTCCTTTTTAAATAAGTTTTAACTAGTTTATGAACTAGTTTAGAATGTGACCACATCTATGCATCATAGCAGCATTAAAGGCATAAAGAAAACAGAAAGTGGGGAGATGCAAAGACCTGTTAGAATACTATTATGATAGTGCAGGCAGAGGGCAGCGCGTGTTGTTTAAAGCCTCTCTACTTCTTCAGAGCCTTTTCTTCCATGGTTTCTTTCTTCGATAATTTTTATCCTATCAAGGAATACTTTCTCTTCTGATAGGGTAATTTGGTCTTTATTTCTAGAGGAAGCCCAAATGGTTCGATGCAGGTGTAATCTCTGCTACTTACTGGAACTGTTCTTCCGAATCTTGGGTCCTTGGTTGTGTGTGGCTTCCCTCACTGAATGCCCTCAAAACTTGCAGGGAGTTTGCTCTGGCTACCCGGTTTTCTGGCTTCTAACCAAGTGATTACAGGTCCCTGGAGCAGTCTTCTTATGGACTTCCTTTGTTTATCTGGTGCTAATATTCCCAGATATGAGAGCAATCAGTAATTAGCAAACTTCTGCCTGTATGTTAATTGCCACAGTGCTTTCATTAAGGCAATCATTGGCTTTCTGGATGGAGAAATTCCAAGCTGCCTTTCCCCCCTTCTGTTGGCTGGCTATTCTGCAGTAGGTTCTGTCCATAAGGGAGCTAAAATATAAGAAAAAGGTAAATAATCACCCTTAAATTTTTCCCTTTAGATTACTGCACTTTTGGGTTCCAAGTTCTCTAAAGTAGTCTAATTGTACAGGAAGAGGTCTTTACAAATGAACCACTTCTTCTCTGTCTCTTTTTCTTGATCCTTTTCCTTCTCCAGATTCCTTAAAATGGATATTCAGTTCAATAAATATTTATTAAAAGTCCTTACAAGGCACTTGCTAGGTAATACAAAATCAGAAACAAAAATCACCGCCCTCAAGGAAAATGCATTCTATTAGTATTCCCCAGAATTTACTGTACTTCGTTATTTGCCCTGTCTACATTCTCTTCCTTGGCAATTTTACTCACTTCCATGATTCTAACTCTCAGCACCATACAGATGACTTCTAAGTCTCTCTTCTTTCCAAAGCTCCAGACCTACATCCCCAGCTACCTACAGAACATCACTGTATGAATGCCCTGATGACACATAAAACTGAACATAGCTAAAACAAAGTATATCTTTTTTTTTTTTTTAAACTAAGCACGCTTCTCCTCTGAGTAGAAGGATAGCAACTAGACTTTGCTGTGGATCAGACCACTGAAAATGTGCAGGTTTGCAGGATGTCTCTGAGTTCCTAGAATAACACAATACTCAGAAGTCTCAAGAAAAATGCAACAAGAGCAGCCCAGATCTTCCCACCACAAGTACCAAAGAGCCCAGCTCTAATATCAAGTTCAAAGTAAGGGTACTTGCTGACTTCTTGAGGCTGGAAGATTGGGCAAACAAAAAAAGAATCTCCCCAGAAAGAGCTGTTACGGTGGCAGGGAAGCTTAAGACACACACCCAGGAGTAGAGGATGACTCCAAAACATCTATATGCAAAGCTTCAGAGAAAACACATCTTAGACACAAACTCAACTATAGTGCCTGGAAGAGATGAAGCAGGAATTTAAAAAAGAATTTAAAATATTTTTATAAATGAAATTAGAGTACTCGAGGAAAACAGTGGAAAAGAGACGAGAGCTATGGAAGCAAGAACTAGAAAAAGAATGAACGGCTTGGCACAAGAGGTACAAGACCTTGTCCAAGCAGAACTCCCTGAAATTTTGAATGGACCAAACAGAAGCTAATGACTCCATGAAGCAACAAGCAATATTAAAACAAACTTAAAAGACTGAAAATATAAAAGAAAATGTAAGCTATCTCACAACAATAAAAAACTGACCTGGAAAATAATCAAGGAGAAAAAAAATCTAAGAATCATTGTACTATTAAACACCATAACCGAAAAAAGAGCCCACACACCTTATTTCAAGAAGTCTTAAAAGAAAACTGTCCAGATCTCTTAGAACCAGAGGGCAAAGTAGAAATAGAAAGAATCTAACAGCCACTGGACTTCCATGACTCTGGAAGAGAGAGTGAGGCTTTAGCCTCACTTTGGACTTTGTCCAACTCAGCCTCACTTAAGTCCAATTCACTCACAAATTAAGACATCAACCTGGGATGTCACTGGTCTCCTTAGAAAATTAAGGATGAACAACAAACAGCAACGGGTGTGGGACACCTTTCACACAGATGAGGAATTATTTTCCTAGGCTCCAAAGAATGTTAATTTGCCCAAGGTGAAAGAAAGCCGGTCCTAGCTCAAAAGGTCTGGTCCACAGAAAGGTGATCAGAAAGGCAAAATGACTGCAGACCATTCCATAAAAGGGTAAGTTTAAAGAATCACAAAAGTTTAGCCTGGCAAAGAGGAGGCTCATCGAGGGCATGAAAGCTATCTCCAGATATTTTAAAAAGAGGAGTTAGAAATGTTCAAGTCTGCTTATCTCAGAGGCAAGATGAGAACCCATGGCTACAGCACAGAGGCATATTTTGGCTAAATATAAGGAAAAACTTCCTATAATTTGATCTATCTCAGAGTGAAATAGGTGCCTTGGGAGGCAGTAGGTTCCCTGTGGTAGAGGTCCGGGAAAGTATGTGGAACGGATCAAGATGCTGTAGCTAAGCTACAGGGCAGACCGGATGATGTCTAAGGTCCCAACTTTGAGTTCCTATGATCTACATCAGTACTTGTCCTATACATCCTCATCTATAGCAGGGCATCTGAGGCTCTGAATAGTAACCTTGGATCATCAAGGAAAGATTAAATCATGTTGAGAATACTTTGTTTTCTAAGGTAAGGAAGTGTGCTATTTCAGAAAGATTTCCAAACACAATTAAGATGAAGATTTGGGTACTTATCCTTCAATTATAGAGAAGTGCCTTTTCTCCAGACCATCTTACTCTCTGGATATTCTAGAATCTAGATAACAGTCAAACCTATACTATGGCAGGCTTGAATTCTGACTACTCAAATTTTCGGGTCAATTCAAGGTTGAACAGAAATCTCTCTCTCTCTCGATTCTATGGCATACCCTATAAATTGGGAGACTTTTTATACGTTTGTTTTTTAAATAAATCTTCATCAGCTGCCTTTTCCTCCTAAAAAGCAAAATGGTTAGCTGGGTTGCAGTCAATTAAAATTTTACCTTATTATAATTAATGAAAAACATAATACATGACTTTTAAGAACTAAATTGACATTATAAGCAACAACACAATGCCTTTCAGTACACAAGTTATTAAAAAAGATCTAAAACAAGATTTACATATCTGCCTATGAACTTACTTAGAAATATCTTTGTTATCTCGTTGCCATGGCAAAAAGACATTTCCAAATGCTGCTCGGTAGCAATAGACTCCCAAGAGCCCCAGTGCCATTGCTACTTTTGAAACAGGACAGCATCTTCTCTGAACCAGAATGAAGATCATGACAAGGGATAGAAATGCCAGAACAGAGAGTTCAGCTTTATGATCAGAACTGCAATGAAACAGAAAATGCCACAAATTATTGCAAAGTATAACCTAATTACTACATTTCTACAAATCTGTAGCAAGTTAATGGCTAAGATGCACATTTAAAATGCTTTCTTTTTTTCAGAATAAACTGTTTAGATTTTCTGTCCAAAACAACAATATCAAAAAACATAACCATATTTCTGTTCACTATTTCCTAAATAAAAGGTAATATTTATATATCACAGTAAATAATATAAAAATAAGGGAAACTCTTTTCTTTGGAAAAAACTTCAAAAATTGGAGCAAGAGTTCCATTCATTAAACCCTGAAGTAGAATCAATTGGAGATGAGGGAAGAAAAATGTCAGCTCCAACCTTGGCATAGGTCTCCCCTCCCTGCCCCTTATTCTGACTGGAAAAGAACCTCGCACATTTTAAAGGGTCCTGAGTATTTTGGCCTTCCCATCTTCCCATCATCTTAGTATTGCCCTAGGCCAACAGTAGTCTGCTGGAGCCAAGGATAAACTAGACATAGAAGATTCACCATGCTTTTGAGCACCCCATGAAAGGGAACTTCCAGAAACCAAGAACAGTGAGTCACCTTTATGCTACAAGTGCTCTCTCAAGCTTGAGCCCACTCTTCCTGGGACTATAAGTACTTGTGAGAGTGGGTGACACAGATTTTTGGATTTTTGTTAACGACTGCTCTTATTGTGCTACCTTAGTAAACACCGTTTTCTTAAAACAATTTAAGGCTGGCTGACTAAATGGTTCAACTGATAAATCTTGGGACAGGCTAAATGATTCAACTGATGATCTTGGAGGGAGCACAATGATGGGAGTTAAAACCAATGGCATTAATCTCCCTCAACTCTTCAGGGGTACCCCTAGAACCTAAAGGGGGAGATAGAGCCTTGCTTTGGGACTTGACACTGGTCTATAAGAGGGGGAGTTGGGATAATGATCTTCAGAGCTTACATGGGCTCAGCAGAAACAACCACAATGTTTATCAACAGCATCCCCAACCTTTACGGACAAGTCAGGATGCAAAAGTTTGTAGTTACCTGGATATCTGAAGTTGCTAAATATAATTTTTCCCTTGTGGTATATATGATAGTTACGTTTCCAGACTAGCCCACAAAAGTCAAGTTAACTGGAATATGTCCATCAATAATTACTGTTAGATGCTATAGATATAAGTACAAAGAACGTTTCCGAAACCTGTGTGTATGATTTTGTATTTTACATACATATAGTTAGTTATAATAAATAGGAAGAATCCAAGAAAATGTCATTTATTCTAAATCTCAGCTTGCTACACTGTGTGGTACAGATAAACTGTGTGGTACTACTAATTATTTTGCCAATTATATCTCATTTAGTATGACCAAATGAAATTATTCTGTAAATCACAGTTGAGTAGTTTCCTTAGCCATAAAGTTCCCACAATCATGGGACACAAGTTGTCTACAGGTATGTAATAAAAAACCTGGATTGTCTGGTCTCTATACCCACAGAGATTTGCATTAATTTGTTCAGGACACTACAAAGTGAAAATCATTCCATGATCACCATGCTGACCTTAACCCTCACTACTTCCTAGTTTCTCTCTCTCATATAACAAGGTAGATTGAGAGGGTGGAAGGTTATAAAGAAAGACCTGAATACCAGATTATCACCAGCTCTGGTTACCATTCTCATTCTCAACTCATCAATATCTTCTAATAGATAAAGAGAGAGAAAAAAAAGAAAAGGAAGAGGAAGGTAGACCCAGCAGAGGAAGGGTGGTCCAGAGAAGTTTGTTTATACTGAGAAATGGGGGAACAGGATTAGGTTACAGTAGCCCCACTCTCATTGGCTCCCTGTTCCTGCCCACCTCCCTAGTCCAGCCTTTCCTTCTCTAAAGCACCCCTTATGCTGCCTAAGTTGCCAACTAAAACCTTCACTGCATTTTCCACAGCCAATAATGTAATTATCTCCATTTGTGCTCCGGGTTTTCGTTAATGACCTAATGAAACAAAAAGCCTTCATTAGCTCATTCCAGAGTCAATTAGCCAACAAACATGTGCCCTACATGGCTCTAAGTACAAGTGCTACAAAGGCCATGTCCATTTACGTGCCCAAATGGCCCAGGCAGACAACTCAAATGATCATAAGGAATTCAAGTAGGTCTCAGCATAATGAATACTATTATTAACGGAGATTCGTTCTACATTCATTCAACAAGCAATTATCAAGCACCTCATGTACTTCCTAGGCATTGTAGGAGGTGCTGGGAATACAAAGACAAAAATATAACAGTACTTGCCCTAAAGTAGTGTTGGAAATCCTACTGGCAGGAAACAACATGAGTATAGACAAGTAAATACAGTATGTTTGTGGGCATGCATTGTGCAAAGTAAATATGAAGCAATTTCAAAAGTGGAGGTGTCTAGCAAACAGAGACAAATAAGGACAGGTCTCATGTAGGAGGTAACATGAGTTAAGCCTTGAGGAAAACTTGGGATTCAAACTGGCAGAGGTGAGAAGAGAGTGCACTCGAGGCATGGGGACAACCTAGGCAAAAGCACAAATAGGGGACCAACGTCACATTTGGGAACAGCTTGACTGGAATGCAAAATGCAAGGGGAATAATGTTCAAGTGGAAAGACTGACTGGAGTCAAATTGCTAGGGGGTTTATATGCTAAACATCTGGGACACTGGGGCAGCTGGGTAGCCCAGTGCACACAGAAGCAGGCCTGGAGTCAAGAAGACCTGATTTCAAATCTAGCCCCGGATACTTATTAACTATGTGACCCTGGACAAGACATTTAAACTGTTCGCCTCAGTTTCCTCACCTGTAAAATGGGGATGATAATAGCATCTACCTCCCAAGGTTGTTGTGAGGATCAAATGAAATAACAGCGTGCTCAGCAGAAAGCCTGGCATATAGCAATAGTTATACTGTTAGGTATTAGGAGGAATTTATTTTCAAATGGAAACTACTGAAGCTTCCTAAACAGGTGAATGACATGGTCAGACCTGTGCTTTGAAAATATCAATCTGACAGCTGTGTGGAGGATAGCTTGAAGAGATAAGAGAATGGGGACAGAAAGAACAAATAGGAGGCCACTGCAGGAAACCACATGAGAAATGATGAAGAAATAAACTAAAGTGGCTATATGAGCAGAAAAAAAGGGGATGGATTTGAGAGATACTGTGGAGGCAAAATTAAAAAGACTTGGCAAGTGACTGCTACATTGCAGTGACTGGGGGGAGGTGAAGGAAAGGGAAGAAATGAGGATGAATCTGAGGTCTGAACTTGGGCAAGTACATGAATGGTGGTGCCCTTAAATAGAGACCGTCAAGCCTGAAAAAGGAAGGTTAGGGGGATGGAGAGAAGACAATGGTTCCGTTTTAAACATGAAGAGTTTAAGATGCCTGTAGGACATCCAGTTAGAAACGTCTAATAGTAATTCATGATGCAGGACTGGAGCTCAAGAGAGAAACTGAGACTGTATATAGAGATCTGGGAGTCATCTGTATTGTGGTTATTTTTGTTAGGTCGTTTTATAGTTGTGTCCAACTCCTTGTGGCCCCATTTAGGGTTTTCTTGGCAAAGATATTAGAGTGGTTTGCCATTTCGTTTTACAGATGAGGAAACTGAGGCAACCAGGGTTAAGTGTCTTGCCCAGGTCACACAGGTTTGGTAAGTGTCTGAGGCCAGATGTGAAGTCAGGAGGGGAGGCTTCCTGACTTTAGGCCCAGAACTATCCACTGCACCATCGAGCTGCCCCATCATCCATATAGAGATGATAATTGAACCCATCAGAACTGTGGGTCATAGAGAAAGAGAACATAGAGAGGGGCCCAAGCACAGCAGTACAAGCACAAATCAGAGGTGGGCTATGGATGATGAACCAAAAAAAGAGACTGAGGGCAGACATGCAAGAAGCAAACCAGGAAAGAGCAGGGTCTTGAAACTCCAGGAGGAGAGAATATCTAGGAGGAGAAGACCAAAATGCCAAGTGACTAACAGAGAGAGGTCAAGAAGGATGAGGGCTAAGAAGAGCTGATTGGACATGGCTGTTAAGTGGCTCCCTCTTCCCTCTAAGATTAGATACAAACTCCCTTGCTTGGCACTTAAAGACACGCACTATCTGGTCCCTTCCTAGCACTCCAGCCCTAGATATGACTCCCCTCCACTCGCCTGCTCTATGGTCTGTCCCAGTGGCCTATTTGCTGCACCTCACACACAACCCTCCACTGCCCGGTCTCCATGCCAAGAATGCTCCTCTTCCTCATGGCTGCCCTTGGAATGCCTGATTCCTTCAGAACTAAATTCAAATACCGCCTTTTACCTGGTCATCTCAGCTACTAGTGCTTTCTCATCTACGGTTGCTGTTCATCTCCTCTGCATGGGTCTCATACACAGCAGCAACGAAGCACCATAACATGATGGATAGAGTGCTAGACATGAAGTCATGAAGACCTGCAGTCAGTTCCTGCCCCCAATACTGACTAGCTGGGTGATGAGACAAATCATTTATCTCCTCTAAGTCTTAGCTGCTTTATTTCTAAAATGAGAATAATATACTACCTACCTGACAGAGATGCCATAAGGATCAAATGAAATAATACATGTAAAGGTTTTGCAAATTTTAAAGCTCTATATAAATGTGTACTCTCCCTCTCGAGACAGAGAGAGAGAGAGGGAGAGAGAGAGAGGGAGAGAGATGGGTATATGTGTAGCTATGTAGATATATATCTTATATCTATATCTACACACACACACACACACACACACACATGTTGTTTCCCATGTTAGAATATAAGCTCCTTGAGGGCAGGGACCATTTTTTATTTCTATCTCAACTGCCTAGCACAAAAATGCTTGGTGACTAATTAGTTATTAGAAATCTTTATCCAAAATTAGTCACTGGTGACACTTCTATTGGAAAAACTGCATTTTACTTAAAACTGTCATTATAAAATTTGTGGAGTGATGACAAACCCAGCGTTAATAAAGCTAGTTCTAACTGAATAGCACTCAAGATGGATTTCTCCTCTAACATTACAGACTAAGGGATCCTCTTTCATCTCCTCTAATTTTAAATACTTTTTATATCAGTGTGAAGTTCTGATGTAAAGAATGTAAAAAATACGAATGAACTTTTCACTTTAAAGAATACAATAATTCAAGAGCAAAAGAATTTAACACTTGACATTCTTACCTGGTCAGCCAGTGGCCAAAGTCTGGTCGATGAGCCCACTGCACTCCAGTCTGATTTAATGAGCGGAGCAGTCTACAGCAAATCAATATAAGCCATGGACTGGCCAATCCCAACCACTTTTCGTAGCCCTCTGGCAGTTCCAAAGAAGATATCTTGTGCATTTTGTCGTACTCTGGAACATCCACAGAGTCATTTCTGTATTGTAAAACTTTCTTAGTATCTTTTTGAAAATCTCCTTCCACAGCTAAATTATGATCAAAGTCCTTCCCAAGAAAGTGGTTTCTACATATTTCATGGCCCAGTGCTAGACAGAGAGTATTGACAAGAAAATACCAGGTTTGGTGTTCTTCTTCTATAAAACTGCTTGCACCCAAACTCAGAACGTGGCCCAGAGTTCCAAATAAAATAATCAGATCTAATCCCGACCAGCTGGAACCAGAGGCAGCTGAATTCTGTGGAAAGAAATGGGCTAACGTTAACGATCACATGAGAAGAACACTCTTACATGTATCATACGCTTGACACTTACCTACCTGTACCCCAAAAAAAGACTCTTTAAAAAAACAGGAAAACAGTGGTCACATTTCTCTTTGGATTTTCCACCACTTTTCTCCAAGAAGGTTAATTTTATTGTTGCTAAGTCAGTGCTTCAAGACTGTGCCTTTAGTGATACTGAACTTAAGCTAACTTACACTTAAAGTAAAACATGAAAAAAATCAACACTTCCAAGGGAGAGAACTATCTTGTTAAAAATATAACTGAGCACAGCAGTTAGGTGGCACAGTGGATAGAGCTCCAGTCTTGGAGTCAACAGGACCCGAGTTCAAATCCAGCCTCAGACACTTGACACTTACTAGCTGTGTGACCCTGGGCAAGTCACTTAACCCCAACTGCCTCACCGAAAAGCAAAAAAAGAAGGAAAAAATATAACTGAGCAAAGGTGGGAGCCTGTAGGTATAGAATACTGAATATACTGTTAGACTCAGGAAAGGGGTCAGTTTTCTCTGGGTAGGAAAGGGGGAACTCTGTACTTGGAACTGAAACTGATACAAAGACAAAAGATACCAACAAAAATGTTTTTCAAAAATTACTTCAACCATAAATACCTTTAAGTAAGGTTTATATGACCAAGGTAAAATGAAAATCATTTGGGAGACAGAAGCAAACCTTCATTTTTACCTGAATTTTTCCGTTCAATCCCACAAATATTTATTCAGTGTCTAAAATGGGAAAGACCGAATTCAACCATAAAAATTAAACAGTTTTTGCCCTCAGGTGCCTTACATTTGGAGAGGGGGAGGGGAAAGGCAGGGACAGGGGAGAGGGAAGGAAAAAGACAAGGCACCAATATGCACAGGGGTAAGTAAATACAAGGTAATTTGAAGGAGAGAGCACTAGCTGGAGGGGATGGAAAAGGCGACTCAGGGGAGGAGGGGGGAATGAGGCAGTGTTACAGGGAATGCTTCATTCACCAAGGAAGTAGCATGTAGAGCCAAATCCTGAAAGACAACAAGGATTCTGGGAGAGCATTCCTTTTTTTTTTTTTTGATTCCTCCACTTCCCAATGTACTTTATTTTTTTCCCACTTAATAGTATTTTATTTTTTCCAATTACATGTAAAAATAGTTTTCAACATTCACTTTTATAAGATTCTGAATTCCAATTTTTTTCTCCCTCCTTCCCTTCCCCCTCCAAGATAGCATACAATCTGATACAGATTATACATGTACAATGATATTAAACATATTTCCACATTAATCACATTGTGAAAGAAGAATCAGAACAAAAGGGAAAAACCACAAGAAAGAAAAAACAAAAAAAGTGAAAAAATTATGCTTTGATCTGCATTCAAACTCCATAATTCTTTTTCTGGATGTGGCTAGCATTTCCCATCATGAGATTTTTGGAATTGTCTAAGATCACTGTATTGCTGAGAAGAGCTAAGTCTATCAAAGTTGGCTATCACACAATGTTACTCTTAGCATCAGTTCGTGTAAGTCTTTTCAAGTTTTTCTGAAATCCACCTGTTCATCATTTCTTAATAGAAAAATAGTATTCCATTACATTCATCTACCACAATTTGTTCAGCCATTCCCCAATTCATAGGCATCCCCTCAATTTCCAATTCTCTGATACCAAAGAAGATACCAAAAAGATCCAATTCTTTGATACCAAAAAGAGCTGCTAAAAATGTTTTTGTACACGCGGGTCCTTTTCCCTTTTTTATCATCTCCTTGAGATACAGACCTAGTAGTGGTATTGCTGGATCAAAGGGTATGCAGTTTTATAGCCCTTTAGGCATAGTTCCAAATTGCTCTCCAGAATGATTGGATCAGTTCACAACTCAATCAACAATTCATTAGTGTTCCAATTTCACCACATCTTCTCCAACAATTATCATTTTCCTTTTCTGTCTTATTAGCCAATCTGATAGGTTTGAGGTGGTACCACAGAGTTGCTTTAATTTGCATTTCTCTAATCAATGATTTAGAGCATATTTTCATGACTATAGATAGCTTTAATTTCTTAATTTGAAAACTGCCTGTTCATATCCTTTGACCATTTATCAATTGGGGAATGACTTGTATTCTTATAAATTTGACTCAGTTGTCTATATATTTTAGAAATGAGACTTTTATCAGAAACACTGGCAGCAAAAATTGTTTCCCAGCTTTCTGCTTTCCTTCAAATCTTGGTTGCATTGGTTTCGTTTGTGCAAAACCTTTTTAATTTAATGTAATCCAAATTATCCATTTTGCATTTCATAATGTTCTCTATCTCCTGTTTGGTCATAAATTCTTCCCTTCTCCATAGATCTGACAAACTATTCCTTGTTCTCCTAATTTGCTTATGTATCATCTCTTATGTCTAAGTCACATTCCCATTTTGATCTTATCTTGGTATACGGTTTAAGATGTTGGTCTATGTCTAGTTTCTGCTATACTAGTTTCCAGTTTTCTCTGGAAGAGTATTCTAGGCAAGGAGACAGTTTGTGTAAATGAACAGAGGCAGGCACAACCGGTAGTCCAGTTTGGCTAGAATATAAAGGGCATGAATTATTCAGCTATCTCAGATGAAAGTAATTTGGACAGAGCCTGAAATATTCAGATAATTGCCTCAATTCTCTACTTCATTTAACATCTGACATTAGAGGCTTCAGGTTTTCCCTTACTAATCTTGTTTAGAAACAAAAAGCAAGAATTGGCTCTTTCCCTTCATTTGTAAAAGGAGAAAAAAAGAGGGGTCTGGTAGTGGTCAAAAAATAGTCATAATACACATTCTTTCTAATTCTCCATAGACTGTCAATTGCCACCTAACTTTTAGAAATCACGGATTCACAATCTCAGAGTTGGAGGAGAATTTAAAGACCATTGCTGCACAATAATGACCTTGGCAACATTCCTAACAAGTAAGCGGTCATTCAGTCTTTTTTGTTTTTTTATGACCTCCAGCCACAGAGAACTCACCACTCCTCAGGCAGCCCAACTGAATTTTAGATAGCTCTAATAGTTAGGAAGCTTTTTCCTTACATCAAGCCTAAATGTGCCTGTCTGCAACTTAGGATCAGACTTACAACTGAAAGGGACCACAAAAGTCATCCAGTCCACTCCCAATTTCACAGATCAGGTTCAGAGAATGTAAGTAACAGTCCCACAGTCACGTTGGTATTAAGTGGAAGTACAGGGATTACAAAGTCTGGTCGTGTGACTCCACACCCAGCACTTCTGGTACAGGTGCTTCCTTGCTCCTGATAATGCCGTTGGGCCAAGCAGAACAAGTCCAATCCTACTTTCATGTAACTGCCTCTCAGACACTTGAATGACAGCTACCCTGGCTCTCCCAAGGCTTTTTTTTTTCTTCTGCAAGTTAAACTCCCCAAGTTTCCTCAATCAATTGTCATGAAGAATGATCCTGAAGGCCCTGAACCATCTGACTGTCCTACGGATCTTTTCCAGCTGATCAGTGTCCTTTTTAAAACGTGGCATCCAGAACTCAACAAAGTTCTCTCAGATATGGTATAGCCAGGGCAAGAACAGTGAGGGACTGTCATGTCTACCACGTCTCTAGTCTTGACCACAATGCTTCTTTTATTATCTTGGCTTTCCTGGCTGCCCTGTCACAAATGTTCACTAGTACTGAGCCAGGAGTTCACTAAAACTCCCAGATCTTTTCCAGATGAACTGTCGTCTAACCACACCTCCTTTATCTTGTACCTGTGAAGCTGTTTTTTGAACCCAAGTCTTACATTTGGGTGCAAAGTGCATGCAAAAATGCTCATCAATGACTAGATATTGTCAATATATTGCAATTCTGACATCAAATGACCAACTTCTTTTAATGGAATTGCATCATGATGAAGGTCCTAGAAAAGAATGTGATCATATCATTCTGAGTATTTCCATAGTCAGTATGTCCCTCCACCTTGCAGAGTTTGGCTGCCCTTTCCAGTTTCATATCTACACACTTCTCTGATCTGAACCAGGCTTCCACACAGATGAAAGACCTTTGCAGCTGACCCAGGGCACTGTAAGAACACATCAAAACCACATTCAGGGGCAGAAGAAAATGACAATTTGCCCAGAACTATTAAAAACCAACAATGGAATGCCTTCCATGGCATTAGGACAACCTATACTCCACTGAAAAGGAATATCAAAATCAACACTTTCATAATTTATAAAGTAATTCCACTTAAAAAATGTTAAATGTCTTATCACTTGGCACAAAGTTCAATTCTCCAGCCTATGCAGGTGCTATGGCAGCAGATCAGTCCCTTCTCTGCTATATCCAGAGAGACCATACATCAAACCCCTCATCCTCAGACAGCCCTGGCCCCGAAATCAGGTAAGGTCTAGGGTTAACAGAGAGGAAAAGGGACAAGGCTGTACATTATATGTCTTCACTGATCTCAAGAGAGCTGCTGCTTGCTCCCTATGTCTTTAAAAGGGAGCAAAGTGATAGCATCTTCTAGGGTTGCACCACAGTGAGTCTAGGAAGCTATCAACAGACTTTCTCCTTCTTCTGAACAAGGATGGGGATCACGGGGACTAGTCTAAGAGAATGTGGAAGATGTTCCTTCTCCAGTACTCATATAGTAACACATCTGTCCCCAGGGCATGAGAGAAGTAAGCTTCTTAATAGGGACCCAAAGAGAAATAACAATGGTTGATATTTACATTTGCATCTTAAGGTTTACAAACTACTCACATACAACCTCTCAGCTGGTTCTCACAGTAACCCTCTGAGGAAGATTCTACATTACAGATGTAGAGATAGGCTCAGAGAATGTGACTGGAATACTGTCACAGAGCTAGTTAGCACTAGAAGTGGGAGCTGAGGGGCAGCTAGGTGGTACAGTGGATAGAGCACTAGCCCTGGATTCAGGGAGGACCTGGGTTCAAATCTGGCCTCAGACACATAACACTTACTAGCTGTGTAACCCTGGGCAAGTCACTTAACCCCACTGCCTAGCCAAAAATAAAAAGAAGTGGGAGCTGAAGCCAGGCTCTGAGTCAGAAGGCAGGGTGGTATAGTGGTTAAAGCACCAGGCCCTGCAGTCAGGAAACCTGTATTCATTATGTAATCCTAGGAAAGGGAGTCCACTTCTCTGAGCTTGTTTTCTAACGTCTAAAACAGACATCATAATATTGGGACTACTTACCTCAGTGCTTTGCAAACCTAAAGCACTGTATGTTCAAAGGTTCTTGCTGCTTAAATCTCGTGTTCTTTCCATTACACCCTCCTGGCTCTTTTGCTACTTACAGACAAAATAGGAGTTCTTCTAAGGCTATATGAATATAGCCTCCAGCTGGTTTCTTTCTTTCATGTTAATGATCAATCTCGGGAAGCATACATCCCCTAAAATGGCCCAAAGTCCCAGGTCCATCACACAGTGCTTTGTTTTGATCATAAAGAAAAAGCCTGGGGGCAGGTAGGTGGCGCAGTGGATAGAGCACCGGCCCTGAAGTCAGGAGGACCTGAGTTCAAATCCGGCCTCAGATCACACACTTGACACACACTAGCTGTGTGATCTTGGGCAAGTCACTTAACCCTGACTGCCTCACTAAAAAAAACCAAAACAACAACAACAAAAAAAAGCCTGAATAGTCTAGGGATAAGTGAAAGAACTCTAAAGGCCTAGAAGCTCCAAGAAAGTACACAATCCAGCTCCTTTCTTCAAGGAAGGTCAGCACCTTTGCCATACACAACAGATGGCTGCCTATTCTATTAGGGAAAAAGATAATGAAGTCACAGTCACCTAAGATGACCTGTGAAGAGGCTGCACAATCACAGAACTGGAGGTTGGGGGGCGGGGGGAAATACCAGGGGCAATCTACCCAAACCCATCCTTTATAACATACCCAAAACAAATGAACCAGCTTCTACCTGAAGACCTCTAAGGAAGGGCAACCCACCCCCCTGAAACTGAGCCATTCTACTTTTTACAGCTTTAATTATTAGGAAGTTGAATTGTTAGGTCCTTTTTTTCTTAGTCAATCCACTATAAACACAGGAAGATGATCTTATACCAAATCACTGAATGTCAGAGCTGAAAGAAATGTTAGGGATCACCTTGTCCAATCCCCTTATTTTACAGAGGAGGAAATAAAGACCCAAGAAGAGTTAAGTGATATGTCCTTGGTCAAAGAGCTTTCAGGTGGCTGAGCAGAGACTAGAAGTCTCTTAGACCAGTTCTCCTTTCATAATCTTTTATCTGTGGAACCTGAATCCAGACTAAGGTACACTCCTATTTATGGTCCTTTTTGGACACTGTTTCAGACACACTTTTATACATTAGTGTATGTAAAACAATGTTGTCAGAGTCTGACATTTTATCAGTAAAGGTAGATTTTCTCCAAGGCTTCTCTCTGTTTATCCTAATCTCTCATTCATTCTCATAGTTTCAAGGATGACTTTTACAACTACTTGCCCGACATTTCCACGTGGGTGTCTCACTGTTGCCTCAAACTCAACATGATCAAAACTAAACTCGTGATCTGTGTCCTTAAACCAGTTTCTAAACTCCCAATGTTTGTACATACTTTCATTCCCTTAGGTTTCAACCTGGGTAATTCTCAGATTCATTCCTCTTCTTGAACCTCTACACTGAGGTAACTACCAAATTTAGTCAATTTTTTCCTAAAATATGTCTCACACCCATCGTCTCCTCTCCCTCCACTGTGGCCATCTTGGTCCAGACCCTCACTATTTTGGACCTATGTTCCTTCGAGAGCCTTCTTGCCTGAAACTCTTCTCCACTCAATTCATTCCCTGAACCACCACCAGACTAACATAACTAAAACACAGCTTTCACTCTGACTTCCCTGCTCCAGAACCTTCTGAAGTTTAATGGCTCCCTACTTCCTAATGCACTAAATTTTAACCCTAGCATCTCAATTTCATGGGCCACGATCACCTAGTCCAACTCTACTTATCTTGTTTCCCAAGACTCCTGAACATGAACCTGCTGCTCTGGTAAAGCCAGTCTCTCCACTACCTAGATACCTGTTGATTTTCATTTCTGTCTCCACACATCCTTCTCTCTGTGCATGAAAGAAATTGTTTCCACTCCAGGAATGCCTTCTCCTCTTCTACCAGTGACTAGATCCTACACACCTATCCTTAAAGGCCCAGCTCAAATCCCATTTCCCTAAGAAGGTCTACCTACTTAACTCTCCAGTCCCGCTACTTTGAATTCCTACAGTAAGTAGGTAGTCTATACCACATTGTTCACCATTATTTCAAGTATTTTAGTCTCATCTCCCTAGTTAAACTATAAACTCCTTGGGTGCAGGAACCATATCCATTTCTGTATTACTCTCAATGACTAGCACTCAATATGCCCTTAAATTGCACCAACTAGGTATCTGGATTTTTGTTAGAAAGTCAATAGTTTTCTGAAATTATAGTCATCAAGCTGGGCTCCAAAGAAGGAACAAGAAAGGATAACTCTTCCAACTACATTGGAGAAGTAAGGGGTCCACGGGTGTGAAATGTTGCATGGAACACCTGACTTTTTTGATATGTTGGTTAGTTTTACAAACTTTTTTTCATTTCTTCATTTCTTCTGTTTAAATTCTTTTTTTTTTAATGACTCTCTGTGAGAGGATAAGGGAAAGAATAGAGCAAAAAATGTTAAGTGATATAAAAACAAAAGATATCCATAAAAACTTATTTTTTAAAAAGCCACAGTCTATAATTTTCAGCATAACTACAACAGGTAATAAAAAGCATTCAATTTGATAATTCCACATTTCTGAACTTGAGGATATTCTGAAACGACAGAAGCAAAATACTGCTTTAAGACATGGGCCACAGGGCAGCTAGGTGGCGCAGTGGATAGAGCTCCAGCCCTGGAGTCAGTAGAACCTGAGTTCAAATCCAGCCTCAGACACTTGGCACTTACTAGCTGTGTGACCCTGGGCAAGTCACTTAACCCCAACTGCCTCACCAAAAAGCAAAAACAAACAAACAAAAAAAAAGACATGGGCTACAAGGAAAGGCAGACATGAAATTTTTAAGACTATATCTTACTGATCCCATTGCAGGTCATATAACCTCAAAGACAAAAAGAAAGCCCCCGTATCTATAGAAGCATTGTGGATGCTGACCAACTGTGGAACTGTGGAACAAGTCATGGTGTATGAATGCAATTACTGTGCTGTGAGAAATAACAAATACAATACAAAGAATTCCAGGAAATGGGAAGATCTGTATGAACTGATGCATTAGGACAATAATTTGCACAATCACCACAATAATTTAAAGGCAAAACAACTTGGGCAGACTCCGAAACTCTAATCAATGCCATGACCAATCATAACTTCAGAAGTGGATGAGGGAGCACATGCCTCTTGCTTCTTGGCAGGGAATGGAAGGACTATAAGTACAGAATGAGCTTTCCATTTTCTGACAATACCAATTCACTGATGTGTTTTGTTTGAGGATACTTATTTGTTATCAGGGATGGGGAAGCAAATCATAGTGAGAGAGATGCTCCAAAAAGAATCAACAAAACAAAAAATACACAGGAAAAAACAAGTTTAAAAGACATACACTGGTGGGGCAGCTAGGTGGCGCAGTGGACAGAGCTCTGGCCTTGGAATCAGAAGGACCCGAGTTCAAATCAGACCTCAGACCAAATACCTGACACTTACTAGCTGGGTGACCCTGGGCAAGTCACTTAACCCCAACTGCCTAAAAATAAAAATAAAAAAATTTATAAAAAAAAAAAAAAGACATACCCTGGGCAATTTCACTGCTAACTTGCTAAATTTAATATGTACTTTTAAAAAACAAAATAGAAGTTTATGGTTTCCCATATAGGACAGGGACTAGGCAGGAAGTGAACCTGTGATTTCATCAGTAGAGGGAATGCAGAGAGGAGGAGACATGGCACAGGAGCTAGAGAGCCAGCTTCATTAAGGAGGGTCTGGGTTAAAGTCCCACATCTATCACCTACTGCCTGTGTGACCCTGGACAGTTAATGCTGGAAGCGACTCTCTTACACTCTACGTTGCAAAGAAAGCACCATCCTGCAATGGCAGAGGGAATTTCCGGAGTCCCCTACACCAGTGAAATCACAGGTTCACATACATTCTGTTTTTTGTTCCTTGATGCTTAAGTCCATAATTAAAAATAAAAGAAAAAAAGAGAAAAATATCAAATATGAGGAACAGAGAAAAACATGGGGAGACTTGTTTGAATAGATACATAGAAAGAACAGAATGAAGAAAACAATGAACAAGATGACTAAATGATATAACTGAAAAAAAATACTAAAAGAAAACACTGTTTAAGTGTCTTGACCAATTTTGGTCCTGGAGATGAAAGGACACACACGCCTCCCTCTGTTCCTTGCAGAGGAGGGCAAGCACAAGTGAGAAATGTTTCACACGCTGCCAGATGTGAGCTGACAGACTTTGCTTCATTCTTTTTTCTCTGTTCCAAGGGAAAATTCACTAGCTGAAGGAGGGCAAAGATAGCTAGAGGAGAGTATACCTGGCAATGACTGTGATTCAAAAAACCAAGAACATCAATACAATTTTACTAACAAAACCAAAAAAGGAATACATCTCACCTTAGCTGGAAGTTTGACATTCTCAAATGTATTTGTGAGAACAGACAATATCACACAGAGAAGTGCGGAAATCAGCATCATTACCCCAATGGCCATCAGCCAAGAGACACCACAAAAGTAGCATGACCTCTCAGCCGAGGTGCACACGATGACGTGGACCGCAGAGAGAACGAGGACCGTCAAGTAGAAGAGCAGGGAAAACAAGGAAGACCACAGTGGAATCTCAAATTCAGCCTTCTGGCACAAGGTTTTTGGGGTACTGAGCAAAAGCAGAATCAGAACCTAGAATGGAAAATTGCAAAGTACCATCACACACTAATTTTGAGATTCTAAGAAATCCATATTTAAAATAGATAATGTACTTCTTGGGCCCTCGTTTATTCCAGGAAGTACACATAACACTTAACATAGGGAAATTTACAACTAACTATAATGATGCACAACTTGTTTCTCTGAGCATCAGCAAGCACTGATGCTAGGAAGTTAAGGAGGGCAGGTCAATTGGGGGTAAACGTCTCCTAGCCTCATCCTCTCATCTCACTAAGTAACCAAGTCAAAGGGAATCATTTGGCACCTGACCCATGCCCAGAGCTGATACTGTGTAAAGATCAGGAAAGCCAAGGGCAAGGCCAAGAAACTGGGAAAAGGTTGGTTTCTCATGTTTTAAAGGACAGACAAGGATGATTCTTTAATATGTCATCAGTAAGTAATTTCATCCATACAGCTACTGCACATTTCAGCAAACAGTCTTTTAATCACCTCATGGTCAACCTTCTGATGATGATACAGCTTTCCAAGCTTAACCAGGCTGGTTCACAGAGATCAAATACAGCCTGTGACAGGGCTTGCACTCAAAGATGCTCCAGTTTAGAGGAACCTGTCAGAGAAAGCACTGTGCTGGTGCCTTCTGAAACAGCTCGCACCTTTCCATACTATGATGGGGCACTGGAGGAGCGCTGTAGTGGAAGACACAAGATCTGGGGGAAACCCAAAGCACTCCAATATTTTGATGGACAGAGCAGAGCTATATAATGCTGGTCTATGACTATGATATTAACAAATAACAATCCATACCTCTAAGACTATGACAGTCCCAATCATCATTGAGTACATATCATACTGGGCTACTTGTTTGCTCAGTGACATACTCATGGTCTTCAAAGCATTTAAATACTGCTTAAGAACTTTTCTGCCAAGGTTTAAAAGGACTTCTGAATTATTTCCCTCCAAGTAGAGCTTGATCCAATTCCCATGCAACTTTTCTGTTACTTTAAACTGCTGAAATCCAGGATCTAAAATGAGAAGGAAAAAAAAGTTTTAAAACAGAAAATTATAATTAGATTATGATATAATTATAATATCTTCAAATTCTTACGTCTGACAACTGGAAAAGTCATTTTAAAAACTGATACTTCATGTAGTTTAATGGAAACTGGTTGTTGTTTTTTTTAAAACATACATAATGAAAATCTAAGACATCTCTGCAAAAAATAGCCAATGTGGTAAACACTTTAGTTTTTAATCATATTTGTTTTAATATTTTCCCAGTGAATGCTTTTCCAGACAATAAAGTTAAATCTGAAGTCCCCAAATAATGTAGAGCTCAACAAAGAATCTTAAAGTTGGAAGAAATCTCAGAGCTCAGAGAATCTAGTATCAATCCCTCCCTACAACATCCTCAACGAGTACTTAGCCAGTCTCTTCAAGAGCACATCCACTGATAGGAAGGTCATTACTTCCCATGGTAATCCAGAGCAATGAGTGTTAATCTCAAGGAAAATAAATTGTACAAATGGAGGAACACATTTTAGTAACCTCTGACCATGGAAGGGAGAGGGAGAAAGGAATAAACATTTATATGGTGCCTACTAATGGCTTTTATAAATGTCTCATTTGATCTTCACAGCAATCCTGTGAGGCAGGTGCTATTATCATCCTCATTTTATAGTCAATTTACACTGCTTCTCTTCTTCTTATTGGTGGGCACCCTTTATAAACTTATCATTCAGAAGACAGCTTTCCATATGCTGTGATAGACTTTTTACACCTCTGGAAGCTGGAAGAGTTTCAGTTTCTGCAGTCTAAAAAGAATGCTGATACTCCACTAACTATTACTGAAGCTGAGAAAATCTCAGTTTGCAATGACCTAAAGGTATCCAGACCAATCGCCTGTCTAAATCAAAATCCCCAACAATCTGACATCCAGCCTAAGCCTGAATCTGTTAAATGATGGTGAATGCACCACCATGTAAAAAAAGGCCATTAAGGGGCAATGAATAAGAAATATCTTCCCAAGACTAAGCTGAAATCTATACCCACAGAATTTCTACCCAACTGATTCTGGTTTTCTCAACTGGAGCATAACAAAACAAATGTATTATATCTCCTACGTGTGTAGGGTTCAAACACCTGTGGAAAGTCCTCGTATCTTGTCTTCAATTCTGCCTTTTCTAGGACAAAAACTCCTAGTTCTTTCAGCCAACCTTCACTGTTTGGTTTTAAGTCTCTGCCACCACAGTGATCACCTTCCTTTACATTCACTATAGTTTGTCAACATCCTCTTAAAATGTTGTTTCCCGCCCCCCCCAAAAAAAGTGGTCCCCAGAAATGGACACAAGATTTCAGCTCTGACCCAGGCAGGGGACAGTGGGCCAAATACTTCCCTCACTCAGAATGCTAAGCTTCTACTAATGCAGTCTAAGATTATGTTAGCTTTTCTGAGAGCTGTCAAACTGCTGGCTTATCTTAAGGTTGCAGTCATAAAAACAGCCAAGTATTTTCCCTAATGAAATACTGCCAAGCCATCTTTCCCTGTCCTGTACTTGTACAGAAACTCTGAACCTAAACTGAGGATTTTACATTAGATGCTATGAAACTGAATTCTGTTAGCATCTGCCCATCATTAGTTTTAACTTTCTAAGACCCTTCTGGTTCCTGATTCTGCCACTCCAAGTAGAAATCACATAATTTTAGACAGAAGGAAACTCAGGGGTCACTTAGCCCAAATCCCACATGACATGCCAATTCCTTCTGAGACATTCCTGAGAACTGATTAACTTGCCTCCACTGGAGCATTTCCATCATATTCCAAGGCAGCCCAATTCCATGTTGGGCATGTCTAATGGTTAGGAATGAAACGGTTGAAATAAAATCCCTCTGGCCCAAGCTCTGCCCACTGAGAGAAACCAGATCAAGTTAAATCCCACCTTCTACATCAACCTTTCAAATACTTGAGGTCTACCATCACGTCCATCCTAAGTCTCTTTTACTCTAGGTTAGACACCTCCAGCTCCTTCAACGAATACTACACAGCATGATTTCAAGTTCCTTTACCACCTTGGTTACACTGTTTGGGCCTGCTCTAGCTTGTCTCACCGCTCCTAAAATAAGGCACCAAACTGTGGGTTCCCTTGTGACCGACATGATACTTTCACGAATGTGGCCTAAGATCTTACCAGCTTTGGCTGCTATATCACAAATACAATGATTCACATTCATCTTATGGTCTGTCCATTAAATATATTGGCTTTTTCACATCAACTAGTGCCTAGTCACATCTGCCCAACTTTGTACTTACGTATTAGATAATATAATCTCTAGGACATTTGACTTTATCATCCATATTAATCATTTCAATGACCTGGGATTTCATCAGTATAGGTATTCCTACAGGTATGCAACTGCAGAGATTCTACTCATCTGTGACTCAATAGGTCCTCAAGAGTTACTATGGTTAAAAATTCCATCACTTTTCAGTCAACCCGCAGAAGTGCCTCTCCGGACTTAGCTAGCCTGACAAACGGGTGCCAGCCCCCGGGGTCCTCATGGCAGGACTCTGTGCTCTCGTAGCCCGGACTTCACACCACCCCTTCACCTTCACACCACAATGAGGCTCCACGAGAAGGTTTTGGTGGTGGTCCTCAGTCTTTCCCTTTTATTGCTATTAAAATTCATTTCATTAAATTTGGTCCATTGCTCCAGCCTGCTGGTATCTCCTTGAATCAAAATTCTGTTACTTAATGTATTAGGTATCTCTTGTATTTGCATCATCTGCAAAGCTAACACCTACACTGCCTTCCTCCAACTCATGGATAAAATTCTTAAAGGAAGTCAGGCCAAAGACAGGAAGCTAGTACCACTCACTTTGGGTTGGCATAGTTCTGTTAGTCAATACTACTTGGGGTTAGTTTGGTCAAACTCTAAAAAGTAAGGGCTAAGCTCTCCCTAGGCAACCACTCCCAGCAGTCAAAATGAACCAATGTCACTGTGATGCTTTCTTACAGAGGGACCAACTAGGGGCAATTATGTATTATATAGGGTGTCCCAAAAGTCTTAGTGAAGTTTTAAGTTTTAATAGCCTAAAATTACACTAAGACATGGGAACTCTGGGAGCCTGGGCTGCTCCCCAGCTCATTTTTTGTAGGAGGCAAAAAAGCAGATCTAATCTCAAGGACCATAGACTAAAGTAGTAAGTGTTAACCACGAATTTGTCCTAATATCCAGGTTAACTACGGACTTTTTCTCTAGACTCTTGAGTCCTAATCAATCCTGGTGCTTTGAAATAAATCTGTTATCACCAACAAAAAATACTGAGTATGTCTAGCAAGATTTACCAGCCATATCAGTAATTTATATTTTTACCTTAGGCACTTCAGTTACATGTTTTTTAATTCTCTCTACTATCTCTTTATCTGTCAGATCATAGATTACTAGTAGGACTCAAATGGTTCTAGATATTTAAAGATAAAAACAATGACCATAATGTGACCCACCTTCTTGTCTCCCAATTGACTTAGTCTTCTCTGCAGACAAGTTCCCTTTCCCCTCACCCTTTTCCCCACCTATTCTTTGTCCCTCCACTAACTTCTATTCTTTTTTCTCTTTCCTTTTCTTTATTTGGTGCTCAACAGTAATAAAGTTTAAAAATTGCTACAATATGCCTTACCCACTCTAAGAGTAGCAAACTACTTTATTAGGCATATAAAAATTCATCTTCCCATTGGTTATTCCCTAAACACTGCCAGCCAACTCACATTAAGCACCACAGGGAGAAAAAGAAGGCCTGGTAAAACCTTCCCAGAAGTGACCCTGATGTAGATAATCTCATGCACAAATTTTGCTGATAGGAAGCATGGCAGTTTAACAAAAAGAAGGCAGCAGCAGCATTTGCATACAGGAAAACAAATGACTATGCCTCATTTCTATTCCCTCGGCCTCATTAAAAAAAACCACTTTAGGAAAATGTCTGTGTGCTCAAAGGGAAGAGCAGCTCCTAAGAGAGAAGACGAGAGACTTGCCTTTTTCATACATCGGCACATTCTCTTGCAGCAGTCTGCTGAGCTGTACTGAATTTAAGTGCAGGAACCTCAGCTGCTCTCTCATTGTTGCTCTTTCTACAACTGGAAATAACAGGCTCCCCACGCTATTTTTTGGAATCGGCAAACCAAGGCCCACTGCTAGTGTGGCAGCCAGGTCAGTCTGCTGGACGTGCTTTGGAGGTTGGAAGTTACCTAGAAAAACGAGAAAAAGAGTTTCTTACTCAAGGTAGTGTGACATCAAGGAATCAGCCCTGAACCCAGAACCCTCACACCATCTCTTGGACTAACCAACTTTATGAACTTGGGCTGCTCTCTGGAGCTCTGGGGCCTCAGGGGCCCCATGTGTAACAGAAAGGGGCTGGGGGAGATGATGTCAAAGTGCCTTTCAACTCTAAAATGCTACCATTTTGGGATCCTCTCCAGCCTTCTCGAAAGTAACCAGTTTTCAAGCACAGTTCCAAAGGAGAGAAACAAAAAAACATCCCCAGTCTATTCCTTTGAAACAGTAGGTGTACAGGGGCAGCTAGCTGGTGCAGTGGATAGCGCACTGGCCCTGAAGTCAGGAGGACCTGAGTTCAAATCCGGCCTCAGCCTAAACACTTGATATTTACTAGCTGTGTGACCCGGGGCAAGTCACTCTACCCCAATTGCCTAAAAAACAAAACAAAACAAAAAAAACAGTAGGAGGTGCATGGTGTGATACACTGCACATATTTTCACTTTTCCAATGAATTAATTTGTCTTGCTCATTTTTTTCTCTTTCTTTTTTTCCTTTAAAATATTATTTGTTATATGAGATGGCTCTCTGGGAATAGGAAAGGGGAGGGATACTATGAGAAAATTTGGTAATGTAAAAAAAGATATCAATAAAAATTTTTTTAAAAAAATAAATCATTTCACTTCAGAAAAACCTGGAAACACTTGCATGAACTGATGCTGAGAGAAGTGAGCAGAACCAGGACAACAATACACAGTAACAGTAACACTGTGCAATGACCGACTTTGAAACACTTAGTTCTTCTGAGCAATGCAATGATCTAAGACAATTCTAAAAGACTCATGATGGAAAATGCTATCCACATCCAGAGAAAGAACTATGGGGTTGAATGCAGATCAAAGCATACTATTTGTTCTTTTTTTTTGGTTGTTTTTTGTTTTCTTTCTCGTGGTTTTTCCTTTTTGTTCTGATTCTTCTTTCACAACATGACTAATGTGGAAATATGTTTAATATGATCATACATGTACAGCCTATATCAGATTGCATGCCATCTTGGGGAGGGGAGAATGGAGAGAGGGAAGGGGAATTCAGAACTCAAAGTCTTATAAAAGCAAATGCTGAAAACTAAAAATAAATTATTTTTTTAAAAAAATCAATCACTTTACTAACTGAATGCTAGTAGCTGGGACAATGCAAAATTCTACCTTATCTAATTTAGGACTTAATTAACTAAACCTTGCATTCATCCCCTCCTCCCCTACCCCCAGCCATCGGTTCTAACACAGTACACTGCACACAGTGAGTGCTTAATAAAGGTCTGTTGAATTGAATGTGGGCAAAATGATCTTACTTAATTCAATTCAATTAACATTTATTGAACACCCACTCAAATCCTTGCTCTGTGGTAGCAGAGGGATCAGGAAAGGATAAATAGAAGAGATAGCAATTAAGCCTTGGAGGATTCTGAAAGGGGAGATGAGGAGACAAGGAGAATGATCTGCATAAATGGAAAGAGGAACCAGTATATCAAATGCAGAGACTAGCTGTAAAATTGAATACATGAAGGGGAATAGTGAAAGAAGGCTGGAAATGGAAGGCTCAATGTTCCTGGTTGCTTCAAATGATAGCCTCCTCTAAGACTTGATGATAATCAGAGTCAATGATTACAATCACAGTAAATGGGTCCTTTTACCCATTTCTAATTTAATATATTCAGCATCTTATTTAAATAAGGTTTCTTGGGGATTATTATAACTCTAACTATTGTCTGCTCATCTACTCCTTTTTTAATTTTGATTTTCATTTTTGCTCTAAGTGGTCTGACTATACATGGTTCTGAAATGACTCCATCAGTAACCTGTTAATTCCCACGATGAAATCAATTTCATTTTTTGAGATGATACCCAGTGCTCACCAGGTCCACAACCTTCTGACTCTTTGTTAAGAAAATATTCACAACATACTCGTCCAGACCTTCCTATTCTGTGCAGTTTTTGTCCAAGTCTTTTTGTAAATCTGAGACTTTCCAGATTACCTTTTAAACAGGAGTGAGGCAGTCCTTGATAGTTTCTGAGCCAGAGAAATCTGACCATGTGGGATGTAAGGTGAACTATGTCTATAGGTGCCTTGTAAGAAGCCCTCCTTGACATATGCTGGAAGAATCTCATTAACAAATAAGTTAGGCATTTTCACCTCATGATGTTAAGGGCTGTTAAGGGGTCCCGGAACTTGTCTTTTTGAGTTGCTGTATTTTCCAGAAACACTGGATCCAAAGTGCAGGAGGCCCTGAATGTGTCAAGGATGAAGCTCCCCCTAAGCTGACATAAATCATTGTTGCACCCCAAACTGGACTCCTCGTGTGTCCTTGGGAAGCAAGACAGACACCAACCAGTCTGTGCCAGGCTGGGACAATGCTTGTGTAGCTTGGGTCCTTTGCAGATAAGAAGAACTTCCTATCCTTATATTTTCCCCAGGGAAAAGAATGAGGCTTTTGCCATTACCTTGCTCCTCCTCATGGGGAGCAGTCTTGTCTTTTTTCCCACCTTTGCTGCACCATTCCCCCTCCCATATTACTCCCCTTCCTGGTATCCCTTCCTCCCTGGTCCTATTATAAAAATGTAAACTTCTGTAAAGACTGGGAACCTTACGGGTTCCACATGCATGATCATTTCTCTTGTAATAAACCTGGTTTTCACATAAGTCTTGTGATGTGGTGACTGACTGTTGACAGTATTCTTTCAGTTGCTGCTGCTACATCACTACATACATACCACATGTAGAGTACCTTCTTGACTGATATGCAGTGCTCAATAACTAACTATGATTCAAGAGACAGAGTATTACGGAATTTATTTTTGCAGATGACATTCATTCCCTCGTGGTCCAAGATGCACTGAGTGTTCTCGCCTTTTACTGTGATCAGTCTTCTCTGCTGCAATACGGCGATGCTCTTCTCCCTTCTCCAGAGTGTTTCTCCTCTCTGAATTCTTTGCTGTCAATCTGACCTTGATTTCCTGCCTTGGCCTTCCTTCTCCCTTTCATGGGCAGCCTACCTCTCCTATTGAGTTCCATTCTATTGTTGCATTCACGTAGGTCTCATGAGCTGTCTGAATGCTCTCACACTGTTGGCACCAAGGACAGCCTTGTGAAGAAGCAAGCCCTCGTCATCTGCTGCCTGCCTTCTCCACTCTCCATCACAGACCTGGCCCCTGGGCCAGCCAGTGAGCTCACATGGAGCACTTTGCGCAGCAAGAGTCCTTGGAATTCTTTCCATTTGATCTTCTTTTGCAGTAACATGGACAACCTCAAGTCACTCTGAGATCCTGGCAATGACTCTTTCCTCACTGACAGAAAAGAACTGCCTCATGTCACTGGGGGTGAAATCGACGTGATTAAATGCTGTCTTAGTGAAAAGAGTGAATATTCACAAGTGTTTCTCAGAATGGTTCTTTAAATGATTAAATTAAGCAAATACTGTTCAAATGCCTGCTATGTAAGGAACCTTATGCTAGGTGATGAAGAAACATTAAGACCTGGTCCTCGCTTTCATGGAATGAAGTATAGCAAGGAAATATGACACAAAGCTAAATAACCCCAGTAAAACTGTCTTAAAAATATAAAGCAGATTAGTAAAAGCAGAATATTTTTGTGTGAGGTCTAAGCAATAAAACATCACTGCTGCCTAGGGGAAGATTATGGAAAACTTCCTGGGGAAGGTAGAACAGTAGGGTTTGAAGAGATAAGGAAGATGACTAGGCCTAAAGAAATCAAAGAAAGAAGAAAAGAATCCATACGCACAAAAAATATTTATAGTGGCCTTTTTAATGGTAGCAAAGAACCAGAAACAAAGGAGATGCCCATCAATTGGGGAATGGCTGACAAAACTATTATAACAATGTAATAGAATACTATTGTGCCAAAGAAATGATGATAGGAACAGTTTCTGAGAAACCTGGGAATATTTACATGAACTGATCCAGAATAAGGAGGGCAGAACAAGAGAACAATTTAAACAATAAGCATATTTTAAAAACAAACAACTTTGAAAGACTTAAGAATACAACGATCTGATCAATACAATGACTAGCCATGATCCCTGAGGACTAATGGAGCATGCCACTCAAGTCCTACCTGAGAGGTGATAAGACTCAGGGTAAAGAACTAACATACATACATACATTTTTACATGATCAATGTGGGAATCTATTTTGCTTGGCGGGGCACAGTTATTAGAAAAGCTCTGCTTTTCTTTTTTTCAGCTGGGGGATGGTTGGTAGAAAGGAGAAAGAATGGATTTTTGTTCATTGAAAAAAATTCATTTAAAAAATATAGGCAAAGAATTCAGTATGTGAGGAGGTAGAGGAAATTCCAGATACAGGAAAAGCATGAACAAAGACTCAAAGGCAGGAAAGTATAGGCCATATAAGAGGAATGGCAAATAATTTTTTTTGGATCCTCAGGCATTTGGCAGGTAGTGTAGTAAGAAAAAAAGACTGAAAAGATGAAATGGTACCAGATAGTTAAGATCTTGAATGCCAAAGTACCTAAAACTTAAAACTTCTCCGGCCTTAGTTGCATCAAATGTAAAATGGGAGGCCTAAGATAACCTCTAAGGTCCCTCTTTAGCTTGACTATGTCCATAATCCTAAGGCTTTGGTGGTTTTTTTCCATTTCTTCCCCCTCAACCATGTTTTCCACCCTATTTTTCCCTGTCCTCCCCAGACCTACTTTCACAACGAAGTTACTGAGTAACAAAATATACTTTAATTTGGAAGATCCTTATAGTTGCTTCGAGAATTTCTCTACCACTTCATCCTCTGTAATGTATGTTGGCACAAAAGCTATAATTATCTTTATGGCAATCTTTGCCCACACTCACCATGAGAACCACAAGGCAATATGACCAAGCACCCACAAAAGGATGTTTCTTGTTGTTTTGGGGGTATCATAAAACCAATGCCATTGACTCCATCATTTGCCTCTCCAAAGAAAGCATGAGAACCATCCTTGTACTAAGCTGCAACTTGACAACTTCTGGTTTCACTTATGATGAGAATGTTAACATGAAAATGGTTCAGTATATTAACCCATTTGTCAATGGGCAGAGATCTCATATATAATCCTAATAGTTATTTTTATAGATGATATAAAAACCATGTCACGCAGTAATATAAAAAAAAAAACCATTAAAAGGTCTCTATAACCAAAGCCATGTGCAATCATGACTTTTGAGAAATGACAGTGAAGCCTGTCTCCTACCCCTTGGCAGAGAGGTGATTCTGTGACTCCCCCACTCAATTAACTCTAGGGGCTCCACTGTTTCTGAGATCAGAAACAAACAGCTCTGTTTAGCTATGAAAGTCCAGTACAAGTTGGCTCCAATCCATCCTTCTGGCTTCCCTAGATATTATTCCCTCTGTTCCTCATAAGCGACAGTCCACCTCTCATCTGCATGCCTTTGCACCGGCCATCACACATGCCCTCCTCACCTTGGCCTCCCAGAGCCCTTCTTTACCCTGACGATGCAGCTGAAACATTCTTTTTTTATATGAAGCTTTTCCTGACCCCACTCCCCACAAATGCCAGTGAGTGCCCTCCTTTATATTTAACTCCTCTGTACATAGCTGTATTTGTTAACTGTATATATGGCTCCTGCTGAAAAGATTAAGATCAATCCTGTACCATTTTCTTATTGATCCTATTTAAAATTCATTGATTTTTGTCCCATAATTGCTTAAGGCATGGGTCTTTGTCTCTGAACTTAGTTCAGCTGGCCTGCAATGGCTTAAGGTTAAAAATCCAGCTCTCCTGCTCAAGGAATTTAACTGATCTTTGAGAATACATGGCAAAGAAAGGGAGACAGGCCTGATATCTTTACTCCACCAACCTATATCTGGGCCACTATCTCACACCTGGACTCAAACAAAGAGCACCTCTTAGTCTCATGAGAGAAGAAGGGAGGTCGTTGCTAGCCCCCGATTACCAACCTTCCAACTGTCCATGTTGCTTCCTGCACCTCAGCTCTGTAATCAGTCATGCTGCCCTTAATCCTCTATTATCTACCATACACTGTTCTTTGTTTTCTACTTCCGAAAACCTATATAAAGAGAACTGTTCCTTTGCTTGGAGTCTTTGGCATTAATGGAGGCAAGTCAATGACCTATTTACTGACAGGTAGCATGCCCCTGAAAATAAACGATATCATACGTAGAGACCTGACTCAGTTTACCCTTTTGTTAAAATTCAAACACTACACTGTACACGTTTTATATGGACATATTGTATTTCCCCATTAGAATGTAAGCTTCTTATGAGAAGGGACTGCTTTATTCTTTGTACTTATATCCATAGGGCCTTGCACATAGTGGCACTTTATAAATACTTGCTGAGCGACTAGAATGAAGTATATATTTTCAGATATAGCTAATGTGTTGATTTGTTTTGCCTGACTATACTCATTTCTTAAAGGGAGAAGGTGGGTGGGGGGAATCATCGGGAAGTGATAGTGATGTTAAAAAAAAAAAAACCATAAATAAAAAGTGAAAAAAAAAAACCTATATTATCCTTAGCACTCACCACATCTTTTTTCACTACAATCACTATGGTGGTGAGAGGTGCCATGAATGACTATTTTGTATTCTTTGTTTCACAGTTTGCGAAGGCCAAAGAATTAATCGTTTTCTAATAGCCAACCTGCTGGCTACTGAATGTCTCTGCATGTAGGCTGATCCATAGTCAGCAGCAGTCTACTGCCAGGCCCATAACTCAAAGCCTTTTGAACTTGGGTAAAACTTGCCAGAGCTAGGATGCTACTGGGAAGGTCTTTGACAACTGAGGCTCCCCTCCATGCCATAGTGAGGCATCAGAGGGAGATTTCTGTAGAGGAATCCTTCTTTACTAATAATACTATCCAAAATTTAAACCAATTTCAAAAATAAATCTTACTCATCTTTCCATCAACAATAAGAGAAAGATCATTTCATCACAAGCAACTGGTACTGAATTCTTTTAATCCCATACCTCCTATGTCTGAAGGTTCAGACAATTCTTAGTGTCACCTTTAAAAAAATTCTCTCTCTCCTAACAGGGTGTCAATTTACCTACAACCCCTTTCAATTAAGTCAGCCATATCCCTGCTAAGACCACAGCTGGAGAATAAATCGGAATATAAATTCTCTAAGAACCCTACAGGAAAAGGAAGGTAGCTGTCTGCAACCAAGCCTCACTGGCTGGGAGACTACAAAGGCCTCCAATGTTCAATCCAGTCCTATGGTATCGCCTGTGACCTCTGGTGACCTAGTTAACTCAGGCGAGCTATGTCATTTTTTTAAAATTCAGCTTGAGATAATGGAAACTTCCCCACAAAATGAAATATTCCTTTCCCCTGCTGGTCTAAATAAGCTGCTTAGAAATACTCAGGTTTCCCACAATACGTATTAATAGCTCCCGCTACTTCAACGGATCAGTGACTGCAGAGACAGAATTGCTCTTTCCGACGATGCTGATCACACCCCATGCAGGCCTGCCTAGGCTGGGCAACGCTTGTCCGCATCTATTTCCAGATATCTTGGCAATAATTTTCACATTTTACAACTCAGCTTCACAGGCTCACAGATCAAGGGCTAGGAGGTACCTCAGAGTCCAACCCCTTCAATTTTCCAGCCGAGGAAACTCAGGCCCAGAGAGGTCAAGTGTCCTGCTCAATAAGTCAGCTAGACTCAATCGCTGGCAGAATTTGAACCCAGATCCTCTGACTCCTGAACCAGGGTTCTTTCCACAGTACCATTTCTGTTAACACTTCTGGTCCTTAAAATCAGACACATTCTAGGAAGTGGGCAAGTGATTCAGGCCCAAACTGCCCAGGAAAAATGTCAAAGAATCACATGCACAGCATTGGGGAAGCGACACAGGGAGACACAATGTTCAGATCAAGAATCATCCCTGCTTTCACGCAGCTTACATTAAATACACAAAGAGCTTTGCTGCAGATATACGTTAAGTGAATGAGAGGCACAACAAAGATTTATATGAGGGTCAAGGCAGTGAGGAGGAAAAGCATTTGAGCTGGACTTTAAGACAGGATTCCACATATAAGGACTGTGGTAAGCAGCAGAAAACTGAGGAGGGAGGGGCAGATGGGGCATGTACAAAGGCCAGTAATTACCTATTTTGTCTGGAACATAGAGTATGTAGAGGGGAGCAGTATGAAATAAGGTAGTGGAGAGGGGAGGAAGGCTCCATATTATTAAGAGCCTAGAATGCCAAGCTAAAGTTTCAGGGTATGGGGAAGAGTAGACACATAATTGAGTCTATGCATGAGGAAGAGGAATCAGACAGGGACACAAAGGATGGCTGCAACAGTCCAGGTCTATATAGGGTGATGGCAATGGGAACAGAGAGGAGGGGACAGAAGTCAGAGAAACTGCAAAGGCAAAATGATTAACAGTTTAAGAAAAACTTTCTTGAAAAACTGAGACTATGATACATACAATGTATATAAATGCAGTACTTTAAATTTAACAAAAAAAAAACTTCAAAATTCATACCGCTTTTCCTTTGAAATGCAGAGCTGATCAAAATCAGAGGTGTGCTCACTTCCTCTACTGAAGAGGCTCCATGGCCTCCTGTTTCAGACATCCCATGATCTCCACAAAGGACCAATAAATGGGGCAAAGAAGCCTCTCTCTCCTACAATTAAAAGGACAAACTTCTCAACTGTATTACAAGTTGAAGGCTGCTGTGAGCTCTAGAGGCCTTGGTCTGCCTCAGCACCGTAACATACATATAACACTGGGACAGGAGAAGACTAAGGCTCAGGAACTAAAGGAACCCATCGAGTCTAGCTCCTGACAGCCTTACAGCCCGTCAGGATTCCCCATCATCCACAGCCATTTAAAGCTATCCAACTCTGATCTTCACCAGTCCTGTGGATCTCCTGATTAACAGCTGCTGAAACACTACGGAAGAGTCAAGATTATGAGAAAATACATCCTAGGTGGATCGATGACTCTGTAGGAGTAATGGAAGTCCTAAGAAATAGGAAAGCAATAACTTGTAAGATAGGTGTGGGAGTGGAAAAGGCAATACCTCTAAACAGGCACAGAAGAGCAGTCTGATAGCCACTATGCCTTAATGAAATAGGGAGTGGCCATCTGAGGGGGATTATCTGTATTGGGGGAAAAGTATGTATGCAAGGCTGTCCTCATCACGTCACTGAAAATATCTTTCTTCTCCCAAACCACAACAAACTTACTCCAATAAAATGGTCTGCTGTTTCGATACACAGGGGTTCTAATAGTAGATGAACTAAAAAGAAGTTTATGGACTGAACCCTCAAATTCATCTCTAAACGAATCAGTAGTGTGCCCAGAATTCAGACATACTTAAGGTCATGACAAGTTTCCATGTTAATGTAATATGGATGTTTCTAAAAAAGTCTTCAAAATAAAAGCATTTGTGGAAGAAAAACAACCCTTATGACCCCCCACAGCACTCTTAATACATCAGGGAAGTTAGAGGGCAACATGCTATGCCAAAGAAATAAGAATATAAGTAATCTCAGATGATTGAAAAGTCTTCATTAATGCCATCCTTTACCAAATGTTTTTTGAACACCTATGATGTACATGGCACAAATTCTCCCTGAAAATATAATAAGGTATATGAATACTAATTTTTACCTAAATGAGTACATACCTTGGTAGGCAAAATGTGAAAACAGAAATTTCTTATTAGTTCTCTTTCTTAGGAAAAACAAATAGCAACAACAGAAAAAAAAAAATCTATCGCCACCCGAACAATTACCCCGCCTGCCCCCATGTCCCCCCAAGTAGCTTACCTTGGACAATAATGAAATGTGGATCTTCTTTAGGATGTAATCCATTTCTTTAAGCTTTGGTCCTATCATGGGACTATGTGGCCCAGTTATGTGACCAATATGATCTAATCCTAGGTAGTGAAGTATTAGCATATCCCAGTCTTCCCTTTTTAATACATTATCCAAATGCCTTGTAACATTATCATCAACCTTTAGAAGGAAGGAAAAAAATACCTTTAGAAGCTCATCTAATTTTCCTTCTCCTTTTCCCCAGTGGATGAAAATGAAATAATGGGCTGAATTATACTGCTAAAGCAGGCTTTTCTCTTCTAGTACAGTAAAATAACACTATTGTTAATATTAGGCCAAAACAATGATAGACTTTCAACCCTTTGTAGTTTTTAGGTTTCAAGTGACATGATTTGCTCATGAAAGCCAAGAGTAACACCAGTCTTATCAATTACAATAATGTCCCGGTGATGCTATAGGACTATGAATTAGGGAAAACTATGACTGCCAAAAAAAATCAAAATTGTGAATGACCCAAAGGGCAACAGAGAAACACAGAGTGGATCTAAATAAGCAAGCTGTACATAGCAAACTACTGGCAATGGCTCACATACAAGAAGCTGTATAAAAAATATTAAGGATAAGCATGACCAGAAAAGAAAGTGAGGGGTCACATAGTGAGACCAAAGGATGGATAGTCTGAGTCCTGTACTGTATCTGTGATCACAATCACAATAAAGATCTAAATCACAATCATTTATGACCTGTGGAACCTTGGGCCAGTCACATCCTAGTTCTGGGCCTCATTTGTTAATGAGGGAGTTAGACTAGATGACCTCTAAGATCCCTTCTAGCTCTCAATTTATTTTTCTAAAACCAAGAGAAATAGCTCCAGTGAATTTAGTAGATTTTGTATATTGTGTCTACGGATAAGAACTGCATTGATAAGAAGACGTAGTTACAACCTGAATCAGGGGAAGGGGTAACCCTATCAAAAACAACATGGCTCCTTCAAGGTAGAAGTAAATGCCAACAGAGATCTCCTGTGATATAAGAGTGAATGAAAATGGACAATTCTAAGTGAAAGCAAAACCACCTTGCAATGAAGTTTTTTCCTCCCAAATCAATGCAATGATTTTTATTAATAGCACCAACAACTTTATTAGAAGAGGAATTACAGCCAAAACAGGCAGTTTGTTTTGGGCAAACGTGACTTGAAATCAGGAACATCTGAGCTTGAACTCTGAGCAAGTCATTCAGCCTCTCTCAGCCTCAGTTTCCTCATCTGGAAAATGGGGATTTGCGAGGATCAAATGAAATAACATATATAAAGTGCTCTGTAAACCTTAGAGTATTATATAAATATTTTTATAACTATCATTATTATTATTTCACAGGATACAAGGCAGAGAATAATTAGGTCCCAAACTGTTACTTACACAAGGGGAAAGGAACAGTGATTTGTTATTACTGATAATAATAAAAAAAATAATACTAGCTAGCATTTATATAGCACCTACTATGCACCAGGCACTGTGCTGAGAACTTTACAAATATTATCTCATTTGATCCTCACAACAACTTTAAGAGGAAGGTGATATTACTATCCCAATTTTATAGATGAGGAAACTGAGGGAGATAGAGGCTAAGTGTCTTGCCCAGGCCACACAGTTAGTAAGTGCCTGAGGCTGTCTGTTGTTCAAGGACCAATCTAGCTCATTCAGAGGCTCACCAACACGCTAGTCACTGGCTAACAAAAATTTTTGGCCAAGGAAAATGTCTATTAAGTTGCAAAGATCTTGAGATCTGCATGAATGGAGGGTGTATTCATGCTGAAGAAATCATGGGTCCCTAACGTGCTAAAGTATAATAACTTGCTTTATCAAATCACTCACCTCTCTAAAATCTGACACGAAAAAGGAGGTTGTTCCATCGTATTCTACAAAATGCTTTGGGAATAATTTAATCCATGTATCATCTCCATAAAAGATGATTCTTTTCCCAGCTGCTTTTGCCTGCCCAATGAGGTTGTCTTCCAGCAACACGGGAGAATTAAAGTTCATAACAGCATCAATAAAGCCAGGGATGCTTCCCGTCATTAGAGCCTGTGTAGGAAAAAACATTAAACATTAGCCCACAAAACCATGGACTCTCAGAGACAGATAGTATTAGGTAACATTTACAAACAATTTAAGGTTCAGCCAGGTTTTCTTCACAACCACCCTGGCAGATAGATAGAAAAGTATCATTCTCACTGTACAGATGAAGAAAACGAGGCCCCAGGAGGTTGAAGTGACCCATGATTTTTAAAATATATCATACTGCTTCCCCAAGAGAAAAAAGATTATCTAATGCAGGGGTAGGGAACCTGCAGCCTCGAGGCCACATGTGGCCTTCTAGGTCCTTGGGTGTGGCCTTTTGACTGAGTCCAAGTTTTATAGAACAAAAGCTTTTATTAAAGGGATTTTTTTCTGTGAAGCTTGGATTCAAAGGGTTACATCTGAGGACCTAAAGGACCACATGTGGCCTTGAGGCTGCAGGTTCCCCACCCATGATCTAGTCCAACCCTCTCCCTTTACAAACAGGTGAAATAAGTTTCAGAGTGGGAACATGATTTGCCAAAAATCCTACAGCTAAGTCATGGTGAGCTGGGAATGGAACCCTGGACTGACATTGCATACTCTTCTCTTTTACTGTGCTGGGACCCAAGGACAGCAAAACTTGAGCCAAAAGGACTTAAATGCCAGACTAACTAGTGCAGACTTTATCTTGTGGGCAACAGTTCTCCATCAAAGATTTATAAGCAACAAAGTGACATGGTACGGAAGCAGTTTTAAAAGATTAATAAGAGTGGTATAAGGATAAGAACTGGAGATTAAAGGCTGCCCACTTAGGCTCCTGCCGTGTGGGCAGGCTTCACATTTCATCCAATGCATTGCTAGAAAACAGCATACTGGAGAAGTGGGAGACCAGTGGTACAGAAAGCTGCATGGGCTGTCAGACCCAACTCTCGCCAGTTTGCTGAAGTTAAAAAAAAAAAATTTGTTACAGGGGAAGCCTCAGGGGGAAAGTTGGAGTTGGCAGAAAGTGAATTATTCAAAAACAAATAGGACCTCTTTGGGATACAAGTCTAGTAGTGGTATTGCTGGATCAAAGGACATGCACAGCTTTATAGCCCTTTGGACATAGTTCCAAACTGCTCTCCAGGACGGCTGGATCAGTTCACAACTCCATCAAAAGTGCATTACTGTCCCTATTTTTCCACATCCCAACATTTATCATTTTCCTTTTCTGTCATTAGCCAATCGGATGGGTGTGAGGTGGTCCCTCAGAGCTGTTTTAATTTGCATTTCTCTAATCAATAGTGATTTAGAGTATTTTTATGTGACTATAGATAGCTCTGATTTCTTTGTCTGAAAACTGCCTGTTCATATCCTTTGACCATTTTATCCTTTGACCATTTTATCAACTGGGGAATGACTTTTATCCTTATAAATTTGACCCAGTTCTCTATATATTTGAGAAATGAAGCTTTATCAGAAATATTTGCTATAAAATTTTCCCCCCATTTTTCTGCTTTCCTTCTAATTTTAGTTGCATTGGTTTTGTTACTATTTTCGCTTTTTTTCTTTTTTTTAGTTTTCTTGCAAAAAATGACCAATATAAAAATGTGTTACATGGTTGCACAAGTATAACTTATAATGGATTGCTTACTGTCTCAGGAATGTGAGAAGGAAGGGAGGGAGGAACAGAATTTGGACTCAAAACTTGAAAAAAAAAAACACGAATGTTAAAAACTCTTTTTACATTTACAACTGGGGAAATATATTATTTTAAAAAATAAAACATTTTTAAAGGTATCAATAAAAGTGGTTTGTTTTTTTTTTAAAAATACCTGTCATCTCCAAAAGACTCATAATGGAAAATGCTATCCATATCCAGAGAAAGAACTATGGAGTCTGAATGCAAATGGAAGCATACTATTCACTCTCCTTTTGTTGCTTTGTTTTGTTTCTTCTTTCGTGTGGTTCCTCCCATTAGTTCTAATTCTTCTTTACATCATGACTAATGGAAACTACGCTTAATATGAACGTATAAGTAGAACCTATATCAGATCACATGCCATCTTGGGGAGGGGGGAGCAGAGAGAAGGGGAGAAAATTTAAAACTCAAAATCTCATGGAAGTGAATGTTGAAAACTAAAAATAAATTAAACATACACACACACACACATCATAAAGCAGATAATTTTAGAGTGGGCCCTATTTTTTCCCTAAAATTACATTAAATTAGGAACTGTGTTCTTAACCCAGTACTTGAGCAAGGCCTGATCATATCATTCTCCTGCTCAAGAACTACCACTGGTTCCTTATTGATGTCCCAGCCTCTAGTCCTTCCATGACGAGGTGATGCCATTTTTTCTTTGCATTCAGCATAGTACCCTCAATCATGCACTCAACAATTTACACCAAATTTTCTTAACCTGGTCTCCACGAACTTGTTTTTTTTTACATAAGTTGATAACTATATTTCAATATATGGGCTTTCTCTGTAATACTATGTCTTTTATTTTATGCATTTAAAAACATGACTCTAAGAAGGGTTCCTAGGCTTCCCCAGCCCAAGGGTTCCAATGAGACAAAAATGTTAAGAACTCTCTCCTGGCTCTAGATAAAATGTTCTATTCTCTGGTCCACCTCCGTGTCTCTACTAATGGCATTCACTATGCTTATATACTAACCCAACATCCTCCCCTCACCACCTTATCTGATGAATTCCTACCCATCATTTAAATCTCCACTTAAAAACCATTTCCCCAGGGAAGCCTTTCCTGATTTCCCCTAAACAACGACCTCATCACCCCAGGCTTCACACAAGCACTTGGTTTTGAGCCTCTTCAACGTACTTATGATGCATTATCGTATATCATAACCCTGTGTATATATCTGCTCCTCCTACTAGAATATAATCTCTCTGAAAACAGGAAATACATTCATTCAAACTTTCTCCCCTGCAGGGCTTAATATACCATCCTAACCACAAAAAGCATTTAAACATTTGTTTGTTCTGCTAAATTGAAGGACTGAGAATCACAGAAATTATCAAAAAGTCATAAAAACAAATCACCACTATAAAACTCTAAAATTGTGTAAAATACTTTTTAATGCTCCAGTCATTGAGTTATAGAGTATTAGGCAGGAGAGGAACCTTAGAAACCATCTGGTCTGACCATCTCATTCTACTGTACATATAAAAAAACTGAGAACAATGGAGTAATTCACTGTTGAAAGTCACACACTTAGCTCTAGTGGCAAAGGGAACTAGAATCCGGATCTTCTAACGCCTAATCCATGTTATTTCTACTAAACCACACTGGCTCCCTTCAAAAGCCCTATAAAATAGGTATAAGTGCATTGCTGATATCCAATTATACTCAGGCCTCCAAGATATTATCAAAGCACATGCACAGTACATAATACAATGGTCAGAAATTTGACTTAAAAATAATATGCTAGATAAAAATCAACATTGAACATTTAATTTAAATTATTTTGCTTGCCTTCTTTATCTCAAGGAATTTGGGGAGGTGATCTAGAAGGCCTATGCTTCTTTTAAAATGCTGTCCAGGGAAGTCTTGCTATCTCTCACTCACAATAAATCCCTTGTAGCAAACAAAGGGATTCAAAATGATCCAACTGATCCTTTTTTTTTTTTTTGTCGAGGCAATGGGTTGAAGTGACTTGCCCAGGGTCACACAGCTAGTTAAGTGTCAAGTGTCTGAGGCCACATTTGAACTCAGGTCTTCCTGAATCCAGGGCCAGCACTCTATCCATTGTACTATCTAACTGTCCTGTGATCATTCTTTTTAAAAAACAACAGAACCTATTAATATCCAAAAACATCCTAAAAGAATCCATATATAAGTGCTTTGAAAATTGCAAAGTAATATACAGGGTGTCCCAAAAGTCTAAGTATAGTTTTAAGCTGTAATAGCTACACAAATGTCGAGGGTTATAAGGGCTTAGAGAGCAAGAGTGCCCATAGTCTGACTCTCCTGTTTATATATGACCACTATTTCTGTATTTGTAAAATTAAGTTTGGACCACATGGCCTCTAAGGTCCCTCCAGGCTCTGACAGGCAATGATGGGGTTTCCCCTTCTTCTTGGCCTCCATAATACTCACCTTCTCAATTACTCAATCAACCAACTAGCATTGGTTAGTAAGCACTTACTACATGCCAGGAACTGTGCTAAATGCTGGGGATACAAAGACAAAAGTCAGACAGTCTCTCACCTCAAGAAATATAGTCTATAACAGAGGGGACTACACCAACATACATAGGTACATCCAAGATGCAAACAAGTCAGAGAAAAGATCACATTAGAAGGAAAGGCACTAGCAGTGAGGAGGACGGAGAAAGGTCTCCTACAGAAGGTAGTACTTGAGCCCAGGGAGGTTTGTGCCTTTACCATCAAAGGCAGAATGGATAAGCGGCCAAAGCACTGGATATGGAGTCCAAGCACCTGAGTTCAAATTCTGGCTCTGTCAATTACTACCTGTGTGAAACTGGACAGGTCACTTGCCCTCTCTGGGACCCAGTTTCCTTACCTGTAAAATAAGGGGAATGGACTAGATGACCTCTGAAGCCTCCTGTATCTAAATCTATGATCCTACATAGACCTTCCCCAACCTGGTAGCACTCTTACCTCTTCAAGCCTTTTCTCATATTACTACACTTCCCTCTGTATCATCTACGAACCAAGCAAACTACAGCTATTTACCATCTCCCTTACATTCCCCACAATTTCCAAGTTTGGCACCTTTGCTAACTCTATATCTGGAATTTCCCTCCTTGCCTATTGAATTCCTTACCATTCTAAGATCCGACTAATAGGCTGCCTTCTCCATCAGGTCTTCCCTAATCCCCTTCAGGCAGTAACAATTTTTCATCCCCTAAACCTCACACAAAACACTTTGCTTGCACTTTACCAGTAGATTTAGACACTGGTTCTATTTTTTGTTTCTACTACAGTTGTCTACTTATCATATTTCCTTGCTAGACAAAGTTCCTAGAGAGCAACAGAGAGGTCCTGTATGAGATCT